CTGACCTCGTTACGTAGACTGGCGAGCGCCCAGTCCTTGTCCTGGATCGCCTGGTCTCTTTCCTCGATCATCTGGATCAGGTACATCATATTGTCTGTACAGGTGGTAACCAGCTGTCTCTGAGCTTGGAGTGTACGCTGGGCTTCGGCGAGCTCAGCTTCCTGGTGAAGGAGGATCATCTGCTGCTGCTCGATTATGCCGGCTTGGTGATCTCTGAATGCATCTTCAGCGTCGAGCTGGTAGTCAAGGTCTCGAATCATTTGGTGCTGTTGGAGTATGACATCATGTTGGTAGAAGGAGAAGCCTTCGAGCTGATCGCGTGTCATGGATTCGGAGAGGGTGCTGTAATCGTCGCTGTCGGAGAAAAGGGTAGTGGAAGAAGCTCGAGAAGACATAGCGATGCGGAGGGTCTGGTGGTGTTCAGGGGTGCTTCAGATGCTGATGTATGGAGAAAGGCGTGGTAAGAGCAGGCTGGTAGTATGTTTCAATGTGATGAGGACAGAGGGGTTACTAGATGAATGGATTGGATTGAACGATGTGATGGAAAAGCGAGAACAGGGAAACTGAAGACTTCTTATATCTGGCCTGAGGACCCGTCCAGCTTGGAGCACCTCTTCTAGGATTTGAGTGTAGAAACCCACATCTGGTCCAGGTCCTCTTGGGAACGCCATACCTTGCCTAATTCGGCTGTATAGTCATGTCAAGCACTTTATAGAACTGGGTGAGTACCAAGAGCCAGTACAGAGTACCAGAGTAACAGAGTACTGTGGTTGTCAACGAAATGCATAGAAATCGAGACTAGCAAAAGGGGTGCATCTTGCATGAAAGAGTCCCAGAACATGATGACTTTTCGAGCGTCGCTAGGGTGGAAAAGCCATCGTGGTAGGTCTCGGACTAAGAAGCAGCAGGTCGGTATAGCAGGCTCATGAAAAATAGGTAAAGCACCTGGTTGTAGCAAAGCACAGGGCGGCGTGAATGTGAAACCAAGCGGGAAGAGGCATACAGCACGCTCATTGTTTGGTACAGCTGGCTTGTTGAAGCTGTCTCGGAAGTGCTATAGCCATTGGCCAGCTATTGAAGGCATCAGAGTAAGGGTATTGGGACTATCTGGCCATCGGGTGAGCACCTCTGCTGTGCAGATGTTCAAGTGGAAGTGGACGAGGAGGCGCTTGGCCAAGTTTGGTCATGGTCACGTGAATGACGGATGCAGCTAGCGCATCTCAATCAGAAACGGATTCAAAACTGGAGCCTTTCGCCTTTCGCCTTTCGCCTTTCTTTATCCTCCTGCGTATGCAACCTTCCATCCTCTTCTACATCATCAACCAACCTGACCACTCTAACCACCCACCATCGTCTGTTCCATTCCCCTTCAGCGTTTTCTCTGATCCAGTGCTCCGTATACTTGTGGCGTTGAGAGTCCAGAGACCGTGTCTTTGATCTCGTCGATTTCCAAGCACTAACCTGCTCCCGAAACACCGCCACGACCCGTTCACCCACCACTATTCACATCATCTGCATCAGTACCAAACAATAGGCTTGGAAACAATAACATTTAGAACACAGGCTGGGCAGGATTCAGATCTGGTGGTGGAATTACTGGACAACTTCTTTGTTTCTGGATCATCGTGATCATTGTGGTGTAGAGGCACATACACTTGTACCAAAAGACTGAATTCTTCGAGCCACAAATTCTTTCAATAAAAATTTATCTGCCTTCTCACTTGAGGACATCGGTACATACTGTTGAGGTTCCCAACCCACCACATCCTTGCATGGTTGGCCGGGATTGCAGATCTTTACTGCCTTCCACGGGAATAATCAAACTCCTCAACTACAATTCTATTGCATGGGCTTTGCTTCCGGTGTCACTTCTAGGACGGTGTACAGTCTGAAGACCAGCGCTTCATTGGAGCCTATTTCTTTCTCCAGCACACTTGTATCTAGCCAAGATGTCGTCGTCAGTTCACTTCAAATTCAAATCACAGAAAGAGCCTTCCAGAGTAACATTTGATGGCACTGCGATTTCTGTATTTGACTTGAAAAGAGAAATCATCACTATCAACAGACTTGGTGACGGTACAGACTTCGAGCTCGCCATTTACAATGAGGGCGACAACACAGAGTATGATGACGATACAACCCTAATACCACGATCGACCTCGGTCATTGCACGCCGTCTCCCTGCAATCAGACCTGGTAGAGGTGGAGCTGCTCGATATGTCAGCGGCAAAGCACCCGTCAATGCCAGACACACCTCGGCAAATGACACTTCCAGATCCAATGCGACCTCGACAAAAGCCAAAGGCTCAGACATGAGTACTGCCCAAACGGAAGAAGAGCGTGTCAAGGCCATGTTTAACCTAGAGGGCGAACAGTGGAGGCAAAAACAGCAAGAAATGGCAACGTAAGTGCTGACTCTAAGTCCAGCGATCTGTCATTCGCTAACGGAATCGCTTAGTGAGCAAAGAGTCCCTTTTGGTGCCAGCAAAGCGTTCCCCAAGAAAAGCAGCAACATCCCAGAAGGCGAGCCTCCTCGAGGTTATGTCTGCTATCGGTGTGGCAAGAAAGGTGAGCAGATTCGCTTCTCGCTAGCTCGACGCAGGCTAACAATACTTAGGTCACTGGATCCAAGCATGCCCTACCAATGACGATCCGACTTTTGAAGGCAAAGCTCGCATCAAGCGAACGACCGGAATTCCTCGAACCATGCTGAAGACGGTTGACAAATCTGAGCTTGAGAACCTTGACGAGGCAACAAGACAACAGGTAATGATCAACGGAGACGGAGAATACGTGATAGCGCAAACAGACGAAAAGGAGTGGAAAAAACATCAGGAAAAGGTCAAGGCATCTGCTGCGGCACAAGAGAGAGCTAGCAAAGGAGATCGGGAACTTCAAACTCGTGGTCTGGAATGTCCAATCGACAAGCGCCTGTTTGTAGATCCTGTGAAGACACCATGTTGTCAGAGGACTTACTGCAATGAATGTATTTCTACTGCTTTGATTGATTCTGATCTTACATGCCCTAGCTGCTCGACCGAAAATGTCACCCTCGAAGAACTTGTTCCAGACGAAGAAACCCAAGCAAAGGTCGACACATTCAAAACAGAGAAGGCGGCTGAAAAGAAACAAGACGACGAGTCGAAAAGCGTCAATTCCAGTCCCAGTGTAAAGGCCGCCACCCCTGTGAAGTCCTCAGCATCCAATCATTCGGGAAGTCAGTCGCCCTCCGCTAGCCCTGCAAATGGCGAAGTCGGATCCAAGAAACGAGGAGCCAATCAGATGGCAGATACAAAGACGTTAACAGCTACAGCACCAGAAATGAAACGGCAACGATCGGGTGAGACTCCAGCGAACAGCAAGCCGTCGCTGCAAATGCCGAATGGCACACCAGCTCCTCCAGAGGCATCATCAACTCCCAGTCTCGCATTTAATCAGATGATGCCACCAGACATGTCCCAAATGATGCAAAACATGGGTAGTCAGAATATGAGTTTTCCAACGCCTATGCCTATGCCTATGTCAATGCCCGGGATGCCATTCATGCCGAATATGGACATGATGAATCCAGGACTGATGGGCATGCCAGGAAACTTCATGCCTCCGAACTTCAATATGAATGGAATGACTGGTGTCAACGGCATGAACGGCATGAATTTCATGCCTGGTATGAATTTTGCACCTAATCAACCCAACGGCAGTTTTCACAATCCGAACATGAACGGCAACCACTTCGGCCAGCCAAAAACATACTCTAATCACCATCAACCCAACATGCCAGGCGTGCCAACTGGACCTCGAAAGCAAAACGTTCCCACGGCACCTTCGATCGCCAATAGATTTTCCAACCAACAACGACATCTGGGAAAGGAGGAGGATAATGCGTACATGCGCCAACCGGTGAACCCTCACCGACACCAGAACCGGCAGAAGCGGGTACGACCAAGTGATTACCGTGAGTTAGGAGCTTAAGCAAGCAGTCGGGATGTCGAGGGACGCATTTCTGTGCATGTTAGAAATTCTACAGCGTTGGCGTTCTGGATCGTCGATCAGACATGGGCAGGAAAGATGGGACGCATGGATCAGGGTTAAGGAGTGGGCCGTGTGGGGTGGTTCCACTCTTAGGAGGTACTCATCGTTGGGCGTAATCAGCAATCTCGACAGGGCAGCTTTGTCTGCTGCTGGAACGAGGACTGCAGCTTATACTGCCGGGCAAGGCATTGAGGTCTATGATATTGATGACCAGCCTATACGGTTAGTATACAAATATTTTCAATACGTGGTCGTTACCTGTGGGATTCGAGTTGTCCATTGGGAACCTGCCTGTGGGTAATTTTGGCGTGACCGTACGTAACCGTGGCGTAGCGCAGCCTGTGCCACCTGTGTAGCCTGTGTGATACAGGCGGGGTTGATGCACTGCTAGTAGTTAGTAGTTAGTAATCTATCGATAGAGCATCATGAGACCATCTTGATGCCAACCCGCAGCCAAACGTGCCGCACTCTTGTGGTACTCTGCACCGTGCCTGTGGTATGACAACTAACTAGCTTCCCAGCAATATGGTGCTCGATTCTTCTGATGTGGAGTTATTCTTCCACTCGATCTTTCTTTCTATGTCCTGATGCCTTGTCTTCTGTCTCCGCATATCTGTGCTGTGTACTCCGTACTCCGTACCACCATCCCTAACCGCTGCACACCCCTACCCATCGTCATGAACCCAGTCATAAGCTATCCGGCATAGTAGCCACGTCCATATCTCCCCATGCTCTTCGACTGGGGATGTCTACCTCGGTTATCCATTAAATATTCTTCCCATCTATCTAACTAGCTACACTCTTCTACATCCTGTACGACAATGTCTTTCTTCCGGAAACCCTCTGACCCGCATCCAACACCAACCCTCTTCCCCACATTTCTTCTCCCCGCTATCCCCTTCCGCCGGCGGTCCCGGCAGTCGAGCACTGACTCCGACACTTCTATCCTCTCTTCCTCAACGACCGCCACTTCGCCAACCGCTACTCTACCAGATCTCGATCCCACCCCAGTCATATCTCCTGAAGGGAAGTTTCTCTCCGGCCACGCCTCCCACCTTCGCTGCAGCAAATGCAGCACCGACCTGTGCCTTACTTCCCAAATCATCAGCAAAGGCTTTACCGGTCGTCACGGGCGAGCCTACCTTGTCCAGGGCCAACCCTCCTGCACAACCCTCCACTCCCACTCCGGAACCCTTCCCAACACCTACCTGGACAAAGCCGTCCCGAGACAACTGGTGACGGGCCAGCACACAGTCAGCGATATCAGCTGCTCCGTTTGTAGATCAGTGCTGGGATGGAAATACGTCGAGGCACAGGAGGAAAGCCAGCGATACAAAGTCGGCAAATTCATCCTAGAGACGAAGAGAATCATGGGCGCCGTGGATTGCGGAGAATGTGGTATGATGATTTCGACTACGCCGGCGCTAGAGACGACATAGCGTCAGACCGAATGTATGGGGTGAAGGGTGCAGATGAAGCGGTCGAATTTGACAGCCAGGACGAGGATGAATGCGAGGATCTCTTTGCTGGGGTGTGGAGTCCGGAGTTGGCGTTGAAAAGGCGGAGGGGCAGGAAGTTTGGGAGGGCTGATGGTGGCGTTGGCGGAAGTGGTGGCAGAGCCAAGGGTGAGGACGTGGGGTGAGAAGAGGCAGAGACAGAGCCGCCATCCGGATCTATCACGATGCCACCATGGGATTCGCCATATGAGACGCTTCTGACGGTGACTCCGAGCGTTCCCGCTTACATTTGAATATGACAACCATGGCTGAACGGAAACGGCGCTCCTTCGACTTGAGCTCAGAAGCTTGATGGCTGCAATCATGACGGACGACGATGCATCCAAACTAATATCTAATTACGATCGAGTTACATGGGGAGGTTCTTTCGCTGAGGAGGTTCTTTCGCTGAGGAGGTTCTTTCGCTGAGGAGGTTCTTTCGCTGAGGAGGTTCTTTCGTGAGGAGGTCTTTCGCTGAGGAGGTTCTTTCGCTGAGGAGGTTCTTTCGCTGAGGAGGTTCTTTCGCTGAGGAGGTGTGCTGCTGCTGCTGCTCTTGTTCTTGATGCATCAATGGCTCACTCCATGGAAGGAGTTTATTTGATTTCATTTTTTTCCTTCTCCGGTGTCCAGCGAAGCATGAAAAGATACCCTACTCTCTGCTCTGCATTACACCACTTTTCACTCGAGATTGTTACTCTCTTGTTCAAAATGAACGGATGGATGGACGGATGGATGGCTAGTTGTAATGGAAATCTGATGTCGCCGCCTGCAGTCTCGCTCGGCACGAGCGATCATTGTCCGGAGTATAGACCCAGCATGGCTAGCATCTGAAGGCAGAAACCTACCACAAAACTCTAGATTCCGGGACATAGGGCACTGTTTCAGGCTGTCTTTGACGCCGCTCTCGGCGTCCGTTGCACCGCGGGACATGTGATGTGCCACCACTTTTTTTTGTCACCCAGTCCAATTTTACTTAAATACCAACTTTACTCCGTACTCGCACACCAATCTTGACCTTTCCAAAATCCAATTTCCACTACGAGGCCGGAGCACACGTCACTGTAGCGTGAGCGATAAATACTTAAGCATCTCTGAGCTGTGGCTGTGCAAGGCTGTTCCGAGCCTAAGCAGCCCTCAGCATCCTGAGTATCAATTGACTTTAAAGCTCTGCCTTTCACACGCATATGATCCTGACGGTGTGGAGCAATTTGATATGGTATGCTTGACGTATGATGCTTAGGAGTCTAGGATCGATCCTGCAGGAGATGAAATATATACACAGAATGTAGTGCCAAGTGCCAAGGCCTCACAACGGTAGCGGCTCACTGCAGTTCACTTTTGGCGTGGCGAGCTTTTGAAGCCAACCTAACTAGTTTGGCCTCGGAGTTCTCGATATATTGCTTCAGCTTTTCGATTTTAATTCATCGCTCAATGCTTGGTTCGAAGGTCACTCATCTATCGTGTTAAGGATCAGGATTACAGCGACAGCGGTTTTGATAGATTGATATTATAAATGAAATGATGTAGTCTGAAAGGAGAGAGACAGGTCTCTAAAAAGAGGAAGTGATGAAAAGGAAGAAGAGAAGGTTACTTACTTCGCCTCTGGGATTTGAGCAGGACTCATAGACTGGGCTGAGGGACTACTAACAATAAGTCAGATGAGCCAGAGAATCTAGTCCACCTAAGACCGCCTACGCTGCCGAAACCGCAAACCTTGTCCGCCTCCGGTGGACACCTTATCCAGCGGGTAGAGAGATGGGAAGTCGTTCTCTCAATCTGTCAAATCTGACAACGCAGGCAATTCGAGAAACCCCCTGATCAGATCCCTCGAGTGTCATCGTACCTTTTCCTCAGGCGTATTCTCACAGTTAGATAAGCCAAATATCGCGTGTCTGTATCGAACCCTCCTCAGCCAAACCGATCATACGGCCAAACATTACATCTGACAGCGAGGAACTCTCTGCATCGTACATTAGAGCCTCGCTCACAAAGCCGAATGTGTCATCGCCTTCGGGTCGTAGAACCACAGGCTTCAATGCTCCATGCAGGACCCATATTTCGTCATCTACCAAAGCGACCTTAGATGTGAATACTCTCTGTCCGCTCGGCGTCAAATACGATTGCACGTCTAGGTGAGCGTCTTCAAGTTCGTCGAGAATGTCGACAAAGATCCCTTTAACCTTCAAGTCTACGTTCGTCCCATTCATCTTGTCGGTGCGGAACTCGACTTGGGCAGATAAGCCCCTCGAAGCGTTGAAAGGCTCACTTTCTTGATCCTCAGTTCGTAATGCACACTACTCCGTGAAGCCAAATGAATCTGCGTTACTCGTCCAATCCGGAACCCATGACGGCAGGAAACAGCCCAGTTTATCCCGTCCTTGCGACACGTATTGTAGAATGTCGAGTGTCTTCTCGTGCTCGATAATTCTCTGTGCTGTGCTTATTAGCGTGTGAACGATCGTGTTTTGTACGCTATAGTCAGGGATGATTGCGTATCCTTTGTCAGCCAAGCCGAGGAATGCATACACCCTATCGCGTGGGTCCGAGGCGTCGCATTTCCTAGAGTGCTGCAGTACTGCTTTAAGATCTGATCGCCTTCGGATAGTTTTCTTGGTTTTCGACATTGAGGAAATGATTGAATAATCCAACCGTCTTAAGCGTCTATAGATGGATTCGATTCTCTATTTCAGTTCTTTCCATTCGTTGTGAATGCCATATTTTAGGAAAGACGGAATAGGAATCAAGTCAGATTTTATTGGGGGGATAGGTCTCGGGGCGGGCGGCTCAAAGAGTGTCCGGTTCTCTTTCTCCGTACAGCAGCAATGGTAGTAGGACGAACCGTCTTTGCCACTTGATACGCGATAGACAGATCGATATAGAATCGAAGTCAGCAGCTGTATGCGCCTATCTCCAATATTGCTGAAGACGTAAGAGTAAGACGACGGACGTCCAAGATGATGCAGCAAAAGCACGTTTATAAGCCGATTAGTAGGTAGTTGTATCAATCCTATATACGCTTTGACCTTCTGGTTGTGCTCTTCGATGTTCTTCTTGTGCGCTTTGAACTCCTGGAGTTCCTTTCTAGTAATTTTTATGGAGTGCTGTCTGAAGAACTGCCAAACGAAGGGTCGAGCGACATCACACCTAGCGTTAGCAATATTCTCATGGCGCTCGTTAATCATTGAATCGATACTTGTTATAGACACATTCGCTGGAAAGTAACCTGTATCGGTTAGGGCTTCCTTCATAACTGTAGTCATAACTGTAGCCAATTGGTTCCGCGGCTGATCTTTTTGGGCTACTTCTGATAACTTTGCTTGATAATATCGTTCTTGGTGCTGGTATTCTAACTCAGAATTTTGATTTTGTTGCTTCACTTCATTGGCTCTCCTAGCTAGGTTGCTTCGTTGTCTTGCCTCTTTACTAGTTGCCTTGTCGGTGACCTGCGTGAGGAGGGCATCCAAGAATGCGTCAAGGCCAGAAATAATGAATTCTATCAAAGAGGAGAGGTCACTTTAAAGAACCATATCAGATCCAGCAAGAAAGCAAGGCCGAGGGGACATGATGAATTCTTGATAAACCCAAGAGCGGCGCCACCATGTGGATGTCGTAAAGGCTTTAAGGCTATGTACCCAACTGTTGTCGTCGTCAGTAGGGTTTTCTCCTTTGCACCTGTTAGACATGAAGTCCTTAAGCTCCGAAACGACGTTCGACTGCTAGGAGGCTCCAGCAGGAACTTTGCCACTCCTGGGAACCCACAAGAGCTGATTCTCACATCCAGGAGTGGATAGGCAGATGAAAGTTTCATTGCACCTTTGATAGATGTCCCGCATTATTTGCACCTGTCGTGTCTTCTCGACATCATTCCGCTGGTTGATGCAAATTTGGTCTGCCCACAGCAGAAGCTCCTTTTTAGGATATCTTGACGTCCACGACCGTTGAGTACGTCTTATTGCGTGTTCCAGATTGGCAAAAGCGTTGAACGGCAGACCATCGACAAGGATGACGGCAGTGTCTGTTGGCTTTCCTGCGCAATAAGATATGGCACAGTAATCTCCGTCGACTCGAGACAGTGGAACCTTATCGACGATCTCGCACGCTATAAGCGGCGAGTTAGGATTATGAATTCCGTACTTTTGGAAAAGAAATCTCATGTTGTAAATGGTTCTTTTATCGACTGTAATAGGCTGGCCATCTTTGGCATTATTTGGAATCCACCAGGGTTTAGCCTTGAGGTGCTTCGCGTACGATCTGGGCGGGAGGACCCTGAGGAGACGGATTTCTCGTCGTTTTGAATCGAGGTCCAAGTACGGAGAATTTGAATAGAAGAAATCATTTTTGGGTGTGTAAAAGTTCTTAAATGCGGATTCAGGTTTGTTTGTTAAGCCTTGTTTCTGTAGGCGGAATTCGAGAGTTCGCGTTGTGACAAGGCTTTGGTCGGTGGTAGATTGACTAGCCATGGGGTGACATCAGATACGAGTTGGGACAGTAGATTTATAGCTTTTCACAGCACTCGGAATGATATTGCAGAGCGCGCGATCGGATTTTTTGTAAATGGACTTTGTTTAGAAAATAAGGCTTATGCTTGGGGAAAAGCATAGAGGCGGCGGGCGGCTACTCCTATAAATACTAGTTACTACGGGGGGAACCATAAGTAATGTTAGCTCCATGCTAGTTACACCATGTAATTGCCAAGATAAGACGTTACCAAATCGCTCAATTAGGACTAGTCTGGATTTTTTCTTCTAAAATTGAGTATGTCGTCCTTCTGCATCTATCACTGCCTGGCACCTCTCTGGCATTGACTCAAGGAGCTCAATAAGATAGCTCTCAGGACTGCATTCCAAGCTGCCAAAATAGTCTCTCGTAGAGCATCGTGTGAACGCAATTCATCGAATGTAACGCGTAGAATCGATAGAAACGCGTAGAGCAGTGAGGTTATAGCACCGTACAAGAGGTTCTGTCAAGAGGGCGTTTCGTGAGAATTTTACTAGCGCGGAGCTAACATTACTTCTGGCCCCCCCGTAGTACAGTACCAGGCATAATTAATGTAAGCCCCGCACTAGTAACATGGTACCAAAACGCCTCCTTTACAGCTCCCCTAACCCTGTAACCTCGCTGCCGCTTTTTATACGCGTTATTCTACTGATTCTGTCTCAATCCACGCCATCTAAAGCTATCTTCCAATTCATCCAACTTTACGATGCCAGCAAGACGCCAGGCAGTCATGATGCTAATGGAATGCACACTCGATACTGAGCAGTATAGACTAGTCCTAATCAAGCGATTTTTGACATTCTCTCTTGGTAATTACAAGCTGTTACTAGCGTGCGAGTGACATCAATTATGCCTGGTACCGTAGTAGATAGGCGGCCACGTAGCTGAGGGGTCGAGAAGGACTTTGTTTTCTGTTTTCGACGAGGTAGATCGGCTAGCTATGTATAACTATTAATAAGGCGCGGTTTTTTGTTTCATGGCGCAGAGAAGCAAATGAGAGTGATCTTCGAAAGGCCCCGAAGCCTTGCTGGCTCCTCACGGAGCCCCATGCAGTCGATTTCATTCGGCTTCTGGCCAAGTATCCCGACACGGTTGACCATGCACTCAAGACTCTAGAGCCAATCACAATCCTCAGATACATCTTCCGTCTCATCCATCAGCTATCCTCGAGCTACGACGTGTTGAGAGTCATAGGAGACCAGAGGGGCGGCACATGTCGCTAGCCGGTGCTGCGCTCTTATGAAGCAGCTCGCCAGGTTTTGAGCAGCGGCATGCGCCTCGTTCTGTATCCTGTTGACCGGTAAGTATTGCAGTGCCATGTTTGGTCTCCCTGCTGACAGATCTCCTAGCATGTGATGTACCTCTTTCCTTCCATTAAGTGGTACTTGGAAGTATCTGATCTTGTGACTCCAATATGAAGTAATGAAGATTTATTCTGTACTCTGACGCTTCACAGGGAATTGCGATACAGTACCGGGTGCCTCATCGACGATCCCTCTTGCCTGGCCTTATTCCCGTATCGAGCCATACCGAGGTCAGTCGCGTATCATCCTGCCATTTAGAAGGCGGCATTTGGGTGCTAGTGACCACGATCCTGATTTTGTCGGAACCCAGCTCTACCAAGTCCAATAGGTATGACAACAGATCGTTGTTTACAGACACGTCGTCCTCATCCGTTTCCGCAAGATCAAAACGATCGATGATAATGAATGTTGCTTCTAACCATTCAGCAATACCTCTGATCATCCTGACTGCATTGGAGAACGATCCAGTCCTGCGGAGCGTTCTTGAATTGAGCAGGTGAGGCAATTCCATAAGAAGCGTTGGCCGCTTCTCCACAAACCGTTTGATCATGATATGTAGAACATCAGTGGGGCCTTTTCGCCAAACTTGGTCGTATTGCAGAAAGACCGGTATCTGCAAACCATCAATCTCCTGCGAGCCCAAAGCATCCGTTAAATCTGCTGAGAATGCTGTGATCCAAGGATCCTGATTTCCACTCTGGCCTCCAATCCAAAGAAGCGACGGTGCTTTAAGGTCTGACCAGACCCGCAGGTTGTCCAAGATGCCGTTGTTCTCCCAGTGGTCTTTGGCTGAAAGTCTAGAGCTCCGCTTCTGGACTGAAAGAATCTCTTCCTCGCTCGGGAGGATATCTGCGAAATTCGACTCTATCAGTAGGTTTGCGTCACGAATAGCTTGGTAATTTCGCCATTCTAGCTTCAACTTAGTACAGTAATAGCACTTGAGCTTAATTCGTCCGCACCCTGTAGCCTTGTATCCACTCCCTCGATCTTTCGATGAAGAATTGAGACACCGGAAGCAATTTGAATTACCGAATCGTTCATTTCTTGTTTCATTTTCGACGTCACTACAGTATATCAGTGTTTTGATTTCTCCGTTGGACATCGGCAGACGCGAACTTGAGCTTATATCATCGACTACCACCTTCATATCTGTCTGCTGGGCGGTGGAAGCTGCATCTCGGAGCTCAAACATCCTGCACTTTGATGCTTCTATGTTGCAAATATATATATCAAACCTAGACGCGATTGGCTGAATTAGAGAATCAACGAGCTTCCCTTGAGCATTGGTAAGCCTTCCCAACCAGGTTGAGAAATTCATGTATGTACCTAATGATCCAACGCAGTAATACTTTGTTGCTCTTTCCAGGAGATCCACGATTTCGATATACATCGAAGCCACAACTGTTTTCATTTCGTTGGTGGGGAAGACGTCTCTGTAGAACTCTGCAAGGGGTAGAGTGTGGGAAAGTCTTGTCAAGAAGTCTGACAGCTTGGTTTCCCTGTCATTCCTGATGGCAACAGCATAAGGATATATGAGCACAGAGGCGTCCCTACTACGATGAAAGAGTGCAAACCTTGAAGATCAACGCAATGCAGCCAAAGGGAACATTGTATTCTGGACTCTGAGGCACCATCACCTGCAAGACAGGGGTCACCCGAGCGGCGAACTCGCAAAAGGTGTTTGTAAGCTCCGTCACCCGTTTCATCTTACTTCCCGCGTTGTTTTTGGACAGGATGTCCCCTTCTAAAGAGCGTATCTTAGCTGCCACCAATGACGAGCCGCCAGATCCTGCCAGCAAAGCACGATCTGCGGCGGAGAGGTGAAGCTGTTTCAAGTTCGCGTTCGCCTTCAAGCAAGCGTCATGCGCTTTTTCATAGAAACTTCCACGATATGGTTAGCTACAGATGGCTCGTGAGATATTGGAGTAGAGATGCACCAGATGTCTAAGCCTCCACGATACCATCTAGAGTATTCATCCGTTGGCTTACTAGAGAGAGCCTGATTGGCCATACTCTCAATTGCTCGAGACACTGATCAGGGATCAAGATTTCTTTGGAGTCAATCGCTAATGATCTGGTATGGTAATGATGCAGCGAATGATCATAGCTGGTCGTTGGGAATAGTGAGCAGCGGGGGGACTCTAGAGCATCTTGTCAGTTAGATTTGCGATGGCCCTCCGATCCTACAGGGTCTGCCTAATTAGGGCAAGGTCTGATGGGCCAGTGGGAGCTTACCACTTGTGTCGCCAGGCCTATCAGGTAGGTATAAACACAAATAATGTCATCATGCTTCCAGGTCCTTGATGCCCGGAAGCTTAGGGGGCCAGTACGACATGACGGCCGGGTACAAGCTGGGCAGGAGGACGAGCTAATGCTATTCAGGCAACGCACGCAGTGTCTTCCGTAGGAGCTGGGTCAGGTACAGATTATCAGCCGTTAAGCTACATGAAAACTACGCCTCTCAACGCACCGTAGCTGTTACTGAGTTATCGGTAGGGACTCAGATGAAAGTTGAGTAAGAATAAGGCAGCCTTGGCCACCACGCCTGTTCTAAACAATACCAAGTTAATTACCGAGTACTGTGGCAGTGGGTGCAGATCGGCTGGAGCCTGGAGGGTGCGGCTCCGGCCCGAAGCTTGGCGCCAAAATTCATTGCAGTTCTCAGATTCCTGCTATGCTACATGGCTATTTAATAGGGGATAGGGCGCCCATTTCGCTCGTTTAGGGCAGCTACTCTATCTGGCACTGTTGAGATAGCCCTATTAATCTCCTCAATGGTTATTTTATCCCACTCCTCTTGGATAGCTTGACGCAGCACAGCTTCTTCGAAGATGACCCCCCTGGACTTCAAGCGCTGCTTTATTATCCTCCAGATGGTCTCAATAGGGTTGAGATCTGGCGAATTAGCAGGGTTCATCTCCCATCTGATCCCTAGAAGGTCCTTAAGTGCTTTAATCTTGTTAGGACCCTTGCCCTTGGTACCATGAGGCCCATCATTATCTTCGACCAAAACGCAATCCTTATCCTATTCAGGAGCAACAATTTGCTCAAGAATAACCATATAGTCAGCTTGAACAAGCCGTCCCCCTATACCAGAGCCAGTATAGAAGTGGAGCTGACCCTTGAAATTCCATCCAATAACGCCGTACACATGTATTGATTGATTCTGGCGCTTGAGTTTGAATTGAGTCTTTGAGAGGGCATTTCGTGCTTCATATCCTGGTCAACGATGGATACGAGCTTGTCGCTGCAAGCAAGTAACAAAATGAGACTTATCACACTATCTATACTTCTTAAATTGTTCCAATTACCAATAGTGACGCTCAAATCCTCATATAATTCGAGCATCAATATGCGTTTGTGAGAGCATTTTTTTCTGTGCAGCCATATAAGTCCCTACACCAAAATCCTTCATATTTCTTTGAATAGCACGTTCAGAGCCATTAGCTATACCAATAGTCTTTGCCACCTTGAAATGACTAGAAGAAGCAAAGCCAAAATTGGCATCTTCTACTGCCTCAATTGCTTCACACTCATATTGAGCAAGTACTTGCTTTCGACCTCGATTATGGACTTTCTGACTGCGGCGCGCAGTTCCTTCTTGAATAGCTCTGTACGAGGTAATCTGCCAGCTGTGTGGCGTGCATCAGCAAGAAGGCGCGCTCGGCGCGGTGTGTCAAGCATCGTTTTTGGCGTTCGTGAGGCTGCAGGAGAAGGAGGATCGATCGAATAAGACTTTCGGCAGACGCAGATCGGAAGAGCGATTGTTCCCTAAATTTGAGTGAGTATTGGTAGAGAAATAGAGGAATGAAGAAGGGGGGAGGAGGAAGGGGATCTGAGAACTGCCATAAATTTCTGCGCCAAGCTTCGGCCCGAGGCTCCATTGACAGATTTGGTGCCCGTCTAGCTTCTGAGTCTCTGCCATAATAGTTGAGGACATTCAGGCGAGAAGGCATACATCAGTTCATCCCAATAATTCTGACACATGAAATTGTGCCCAGGGGGCCGTCACACCTGGCATTAGGCATCAGCCTATGGGCCCCTCAGCTTGCCACCACGGTCGTAAACTGTACTCAGTATGGCAGCTTTTTGCTTTTGCAATTACTCGATGGTACCTGATCCTAACTTCGGTCGCCAGTAATGCACTGCGAGTAAGCATTCATTTACAGCCATTGCAATTCCCTGGAAAGGATGTACACTCGTTAGATGCATCGTCAATGAGCTCATCCGACCTCAAGAACGCAAGTTTGGCGGAAGATATTATTCCTTCTTTCGACAGTGACCAAGAGCGTCCTAGCAACTCCAGCGGATCCATGGAGTCTAGATGGCCCGACGAAATCGAGCTGCTGAAACGGATCCGGAGGAGTGACGGCGAGGACGTTCAGGATGAGTCGCAATTCCTTGGCATCAATGTGGGCACACGCAACACGAGTTCAGGACTTGCTGAACAAGACTCAACCACTGAATACGTCCTCTCGCTCGAAACATACGGCCAGACCGAGGAGCTTGGACGCAGACGAGGGCTCAACGTGGAATCTTTCGACTGGGAACGTGGGCAGATGAAACGGTTGACCATTTTATCAAATCATCTCAGGAGAGTATTTCAAGAAGTGGTGGACTTCTACCCAGCAGTGGATCTTACACAAGCTCCCCTAGTCTTCTACAGCCCGTACAGCTTCCTGTTCCATTTTCTCCCAAGCCTGGAAGGCTTATCTAAGAAAATAGATGACAGGGATTGCAGATATACCGACCTTCGTGTGCTACTCTTGCTGTGTGACAGGCACCTGTCCAAGCCATTTGGGTTGTTACGCAGCACGCTCGATAGTGGGAGGATTTCTTTTTTCGCATTAGAGATCTTATTCCGTCCTGGTGTCAAGTTGCTAGCCCGAGACCATCTCTGCCAATGGCAGGTCTTCATGTGCGTTGAAGCAAAGCAAGAGCCTAAAGGGATGACGCGTACCATTAGATCTGGTGATGATGAGATGGCTGTGACGGCATACAGAGTCGCCGCGTGGCATTTAGCCTGGAACCCTGTCCTGAACAAATTTGAGCGCCAAATGATAAGGTTTCGGGTGGCGAATTTCGATGGCTCACGGGCAATCAACACCCTATCAGTCTTTCCCCTCGACTTCTTCGGAGACGAACCGAGTCGAGATGCCTTGATTGAATCTCTTGTACAGCGTGGTCACCGATGGCACCAGCTTGCTTCGAGAAAGCCCACTTGTTGGTTGCACGAGGGGGCTTCTCTTGTGACCCCCGGAAGATTGTATGATGGAGGTTACGAGACTGTCGAGCCCAAACATGTAAGCTATCATCTTCTCATTGTGATCTATCTCCTTGACCTAGGTAACTAAGTCATCAATTTAGCACGTAGGACGTGTGATTGTGGATAGCACAGCGTCTATTGATTACTCTTGGGTCTTCTCTGTAAACCCTTGGCGTTCGACTGGTGGGGCTACGTTCTGGGATAATCGACCCGAATTCTTTTCATACGATGACCTGCCACCAGAGGGCGACTTCGTCGATGAACAAGCCCTCTTCTGCCCTGCTAGTATAAGCTGTTTTGAAGTGGTCAACCAAGTGCAGCTCGTCCTTGCAATATCTCATCTACGACCTGTGCAGTGGAACAAGGCAGCTCTTGACCAACTTCTTCTTCACCAAGATAAGAAAGAAAGAATATCCTCATTGATCCAGAACTATGCTGAAAAAACCGTCAAGGATCTGACCAACACAATTGCAGGCAAAGGCGCGGTAAGATCATCCTTCGCTTGAATTGTCTGCACTGACACTTAAAAGGGTCTTGTGTTCGTTCTCTATGGGCCTCCTGGGGTTGGAAAGACCCTTACAGCTGGTATGAATCCCTGTGCTCAAACTGATATTGGCATACTAAATCCGGCGCACAGAAAGTGTTGCTGAATTTCATGAGATGCCTTTGATTAGTGTTCGTCTTACTGACCTTGTGGGAGGCTATGATGGATCGAAAAGCAGTGTCTGGTGGATAATCGACAAGGCTGATGAACTGGGTGCTATCCTGCTTCTCGATGAAGCCGATGTAATATTGGAATCAAGATCATATGAAGATGTCAGGAGAAATACTTTTGTTTCAAGTGGGGGATTCCACCGCTTTAACTACTGATACAAAAGCTAATTGCTTCAGAATTCCTGCGTACAGTTGAGTACTTCAATGGGATACTCTTCATGACCACAAACCGCTTGGAAACCATGGATGTCGCATTTAGGTCTCGCATTCAGATGGCTATCGAGTATAAGTCCTTCTCCAAGGCCACACGTCGTAAGATATGGTCCAATATCATCAACAGGGTGAAGGACGAAGAATCTCGGGAAGAACTTCTCGAAGAGCTGGACTATTTGAAAGGATTGGATCTGAACGGCCGGGAGATTCAGAACGTCGTGAAGATGGCTCAGTCGATGGCACTGGGAATCAGCCACAGCAGCAGCGGCAAAATAAAAGGAACTGTTGAACGAAAACAAGCGTGCCTCAACATCTCCCATATCAAGAAGGCTGCAGATGAGGCCTTGAGCTTCCAGAAATATTTTAAAGACCAGAAGGAGGTCTCAAGATCTCATCTGCAGGTAAATATACAAGGTAAACGGAAGGGCCAGAGAAATAATCATGAATCGGATGATGAGTCTGACGACGAATAAACGCAAGGCCTATGGTCGGCTGGGTAAGATATATCTTTGCTTGGTTTTCTGTCTATATCTATTGAAAAGGTCAACCACAATAATCCTAGCTTGGAAGAAGTAGCGTTTTTAGATTAACTTATTTATTTACTAATACAGAGCATGAATGTGCATCAGCGAAGACAAGACGTCGACGCTATATAGCAAGTGCTGCAATAGACTGCGAGATAGACAAGCTAATCGGAGTAGCGAGTCTCTTGGAAAGAATCAAATAAAGGCATAAGATAGCCCGCAGGATAATTAGGTTAAGGCGGGGACAAGGTTGCGTAGAGGACGCTGTCAGCGCCTAGCGCTACAGGGGCTGAGGCGGCGGTGCAGCAGGCAGAAAGGAAAGACTCTTTATAAAGGAAGCGAGAGAGGGAAAGAAAGGGAGTAAAAGACAAAAAAGATGGAACACTAGGGGAGAACGAGGAGCAGCAGGCCCTTTACACTCAGGCCAAGCGGCGAGAGGGCGCGTTCCCTAATCAGGAGGGGCTAAACCGGAAGAGGCACCGCACCGGCACCTAGACTACCTAGCTAATAAGTTAATGGTTGTGTTATGTGAAGAGAGAAAAATTGCACAAGGTCCTCTAGCTACGGAGTACCCATCTACGTATCTCAGCTCTTCCTAATTATCTTCTCCTGGTAACCGGAACCCAACAAATCTCCATCCACTTTCTTTCTCTCTTGTCTGCATTGCGCAGCATGCCTGAACCTTCTCTCTCTTTTCCCGGTGCTGCTCACCACTCTCCATCTCAGATCTCGACATGGGAGGCGCTGCTCTCAGCCAGTTACTAGTACCGTAGTACTGGTGCTGTGCTTTCCATTGCCCCCCGTGCGTGGTTGGTTGGTTGGCGGAGGGGTATACTCACCGTAGAGTTGCAGTTGCAGTTGCAGTAAATGCTCAATCTTGTGGAGAAGGTTGGCCCGAGTCTTTCTGGCTCCATTCGATACCGTTGTGGGGTTAGGGAATTGTCGATGATGAATGGGATGGGCTGGACGGGACGTTGATGATATATACAGATACAGGGCGGATGGGGCTGTGGTCACGCCGTGGGGTTTGTCATTAACCAGAGAGGCCGTTGTGGCTTGTCTTGATTTGTTCTTTTGCAAAGGATGTGGACATCTTTCGCGGTTATGCCACCAAACGAACCCAGAGAACAGTACACAAGATATATACCCACCCACTCACCCCTCCTTACCTCTTCTCCCGTAACAGTAACTACCCTCACCCCCACAAAACCCATTTACATCACCGCCCTCCCCCAGAAACCTAGAGAATAGTTACACAAGATATTACACACATCCCCTTTACATCACCGGCCCTCCCCCTGCCGCAACCCACCGATACCTGCCCCTCCCCAACCCAACCGCGACCGCAGTGCCTACCCCCCAAACAGCCGAACTGACCAGCGCCTGCAACCCCACCAACGCCAGTAATGTACCATGATACCTCCACCCGCGCCAGCGCCACTCGAAAAGCGGTCTCATGTCTCTCGCTAAGGGTGAGGAACAAGAACGCAGAAACGTCGAGGCGAGTGAGCGGACAAACAGACTCTCGAGCGGGATCAAGGCTGCGGTTGCGAGGAGACAGGCGGCGTGGGAGGCGAAGGCGTCGGAGGGGAAGTTGGAGAGCGCAGTTACGCGGTGGCGGGGTGCTGGGGTTTGGTGCCCTTGCTGTGGGGAGGATTGGTCTTGCGAGTTGATGGCGCGTGCTGGTTGTAAGGCTGTGGGTGAGATGTGTGGGGATGCGGCAGCAGCAGCTCCTGCTACTTCTCCTTCTGTCGAGGTGTGCTGCTCCGCGATTTCGTGGGTGTTGTTATTGTTGTGGTTATCTATCTGTTGCAGTGCGGCGGTGGCTTCATTGTGGAAGTCTTCGAATGCTTCGTGCTGGGATTCTAGGAGCTCGAGCTGCATGGTGACGGTTTGGGAGTCTCGGTGGATCAGAGAGGCTCGGACTCGGGGCGAGACGGGCGGGGTGGTTGCAGGTGACTGGTTTAGCGGTGTGAAGAGTGTGTTGGCTCGGGAGAGTGGGTGAGGTTGCGACTCGGCGGACGGGGATTGAGGTATCAATTGCTCGTTGAAATCGTTGGGATTGAACAAGTCCGCCGGGTCAGGGGTTGCTGTTGATGCACGCTCTGAATCACCTTCTCCGGGTCCAGGCGATCGAGCATTGCCAGACTCGGTATGAAGATGGAGAGGTTCATCCTCGGATGTCCGCCGTTGCTCGGAAAAAGGTCTCACAATGTCGTCGAACCACCTCCTCAGCTTCGAGGACAGCAACCTCACCTCATCTCTTAGCGTCCATGGCCGCTCCCGAAGACCGGGCACTTTGACCTCAGCATCCTCTATTCCTTCTAGTGCCAGATAGGAGATCGTATCTGCTTTATCTGGCTTGACGGTAACACTTCGGATGATGTACCACAGCATCGACTGAAGATGTTGATTCACGGAGGTATAAGCCCATAGCAGAAGGATGGGCGAGGTAAGAGCTCCGAAGACTGAGGTTGGTAGCTGGATGGGTGATTGCCGACTGGATGGAAGGAGAGATGTTATACTCATGCTTTGACCAGTAGGAGTTAGATGTAAACATTGCAGGGTTCCGAGGATCTCGAATGAGGAAAAGAGCAAGAAGTATGCAAAATTACTATCGAGCTGTTAGCGAAGTACATAGAGCTGGTTGCGGTGATTCATCTGTACAAAATTTGTGAAGTACGAGACTCAGCGAGCCACCGTGAAAGACGTTCGCTCATCCAATATCTACGCCAACTGCTGAGCATCGCCGATACAAGGCATGCGGGTAGGCCAGCAAACAGAAATCGCTTCATGCCAGATACTCGCAGCTCAGCTTTAGCGATTTGAAGTAGCGGGATCGAATAGCTTTTAAAAGCCTAGAGTACTTTAGTAGTCAATCCGTGTAGGCACATCTCAAATGAGCGAACCTCAACCCTCATCCTCAAGGAAAATAGCCACCACAGTGCGCAGAACATGAAAAGATTGTCCATGCTGGACAGAAGGAAGCCTGCTTCGTTTTCCGATTGTACCGTTCTCAGCAGCTCACCATCATTCTTCGGGTTTCTGGGTTCAGCCTTCTTGTACACCACTCCAACGGTTGAGAGCACATCATTTTTCGCTCTACGGAGGTCCCTTGCTGCCACACGGGATTCTCGATTCTCCGGATGCCCTCTTTCATCATATTGCTGCGTGTAGTTATCTGTATTCTCAAATTCATGAGCATAGGGTCCAAGAATATACTCTCCAGATTCGGATAGTACTGGAGCTTCGTATGGAGATCTTCCCTAATCTGCGTCAGCACAAGGTGATTAGAGCACACCGCTTCGTGGTCGGCTGTAATGCTGAAAGTGTCAAGGACCCCCAGCTCATCTACGTGGGAAGCGTTGGCTATAAGAGAGCTTGAAATCATGCCCGAAGCTGTGCTGAATAACAGTACTTCGGCAGGACCGCTTGACTAGGCTTTTACCAGCAACGCTTGAACAGTCTAGCGGTTGCAGGTACGCAAACAAACAATGCCAGGAGCTTGCACACCCAGATAGAGCGTATCTCCAAGTTAAGATTCGCCCTTTCTCTTCAAGGGGAGAACAGCCGACTTTACTGCTAAGAGCAACGATGCGGATTACCGGGTAGAGTAGACCGCCTTGATGAATGATGCAAGGAGTTGAAAGCAGATGGAGCGAAGAGTTTGCAAGTATTATGAGAAGCAGAAAGCAGAAAGCAAAAGAAGTAACGGCTTACCAAAGCAAGACGGGTAATATATGCTTGTCGACCCATTATGGACCAATATTGGTCCTCAGTGATTTTGCAGACGTTTTATTATTATTAGGATTGTCAGGAGGCCCAAATAACTATAATTTAGCCATAATTTGATCGTCATTTTGGGAGAATAACGTCTGAAATAACATAATTTTATTAGATTCTAGCATTTAGTCGCATAATTTTATGTAAATTAGATCATAACTATCACAGTTAGGCCGAAACTAAGCACACATTGATGGTAATTTAGGCATAGTTTTCAGAGGGCCTTCTCCTGCTAAGAAGTTCAGCTCTGCAGGGCTGGGCTTGGCATATGTTATAGTTGGCATGGGGATTTTTTATTGAAGAGTGCAGTGTTAATATATTCTATTCTTTCATCCTGCAGAAGCTGTTTTCTCCACGCCTCGTTCAAAATGCTCAGAAGAAGATGTCATCCATCGCCTTATATTTGAGGACATCGTTGCAAGCAGGAAGTTGTCCGCTGATGCGAAGAGCTATTCTTTGACCAGAATGAGCTCCAGAATCAGCATCAAGACTACATTTGAGCCTGCCAAGACAATCGAGCCTATCTACACGGGAGGAGATGTGTCGCTTGACAGGAGTGGACGACTTCTAGCCAGCTGTGTAGAAGAAGATGTCTTGATTTTGAATATCCAAACCGGAGAAAGAGTGTTCAGGGTCGAGAACGATGGCGAGGCAATCACTAGTCTGGCACTATCGCCATCTGCTTCACATCTTGTGGTATGCTCAAGATCGTTGTCCATGCGAATATACAATCTGAACAGCCCAAAACCAGAGCTCCAAACAACCCTAAAACCACACACCACCCCAGTCATCACGTCTACCATTGATGCTACGGGCACGCTTCTGGCGACCGGAGGTGCAGATGGAAGCGTCAAGGTGTGGGATATCAAAGGCGGATTCGTCACCCATACCTTTCATGGTCATGGAGGCCTCGTCTCAGCGCTTTTCTTCTTTCAAATTACTTCTGGACCGATGTCTAAACCCAAGGCCAAGCGGAAAAGTATCGAGGCAGATCACGCATCGATCGATGCTCTGAGCTTCTTCCTCGCTTCTGGTGGCGAGGACGGGAAGATTAGGATATGGAATCTGCGGACACGCAAGTCTGTTGCATCTTTGGATTCGCATGTTTCTGTGGTTAAGAGTCTTGACTTCTCCGAACAACAGCAGACCCTACTATCTGCCGGCCGAGACAAAACGATGATTTTATGGGACTTCAAGTCTTGGAAACCTCGCAAAGTGATTCCAGTCCTTGAAGTTGTGGAGGCAGCAGGATTCGCTTCGGACGGAAAGTACTGCTATAGTGGGGGAGAGAATGGTAAAGTTCGAATATGGAGCACCTCTTCAGGGAAAGAGGTTACCAAGGAGCAGATAGCTGGCAGTGAAAGTGACTCGATTGTCAGCATACAATGCGGGCCAACTTTTCTCCTATCAGTGCATCTCGACCAAACAATCCAGCTCCATAATCTGCAGGTGCTCGACGATGTTGTTCCTGGAACTTCAATCGATCCATTACCCCTGATCCGAAGGATATCCGGTAATCACGACGAGATCATAGATATGGCCCTGGTTGGACCTGACCAATCACTGCTCGCATTAGCTACTAACACAGAAAGCATACGCGTTGTCTCCATCGTGGAGTCAACTGCCACTCCATCTCGCAATTTCGGTGCCGACGTGGCGCTCTTGTCGGGTCATTCAGATATCATTATTTGTCTGGATGTGGACTGGTCAGGTCATTGGCTTGCCACTGGTGCGAAGGACAACTCAGCTCGACTTTGGCGACTGGATCCCTCCACATCCTCTTACACTTGCTTCGCCTCTTTCACAGGTCATGCAGAATCACTGGGCGCTATTTCTCTACCACGAACGCCGTCGTCACCTCAAGCAGCATCTGATCCTCTCAACCACCCTCCAGCATACCTTATCACCGGATCCCAAGATCGAACCATCAAACGCTGGGACACTTCCAAGCTGAACAGTTCACCCTCCCCTACTTCTACCCATTCAATCTTTAAGTCCCTCTACACTCGTGTTGCCCACGAAAAAGACATCAACGCTATTGACGTTTCTTCAACCTCTTCGATCTTTGCCTCGGCTTCCCAGGACCGAACCATCAAGATCTGGGATCTTGAATCGGGCTCTGTAGCCGGCATTCTTCGTGGCCATAAACGTGGCGTCTGGTCCATCCGTTTCGCACCAAAGGACACTCCACCAATTAGCACCGACGCGGGCAGCAGCTCAAAAGGCCTTCTTGTGAGTGGCTCCGGTGACCGTACCGTCAAACTCTGGTCTCTCAACACATACACCTGCATCCTCACCTTCGAAGGACACAGCAACAGCGTCTTGAAAGTACTCTGGCTCTCCCCACCACCACCACCCTCCTCATCCGATCAAGACGACCCCGACAACCTCGCATCAACCAAAATCCCACAGAAGACCCACCCCATCATCGCCTCGGCCTCATCAGATACCCTCATCAAACTCTGGTCTCCCTACACTTCCACCTCCTCAACTTCAACCTCCACAGTCAATCTCAGACAACCACCTCCTCACCACCCTAGACAACCACACCGATCGTGTATGGGCTCTAGCTACCCCCACCACGGTCTCTCATCCCTCAAACCCTACTCCCAAATTCTCCAAGTCTCCCCTCTCCTCACTTTCCTCAATCCAGGATGCATACCCCCTCCTCTCCGGCTCAGCCGACGCCACAATAACCCTCTGGACCGACACCACAACCCGCACCTTCCACCGCGCCAGCGCGGCTCAAACCCTCCGAATCGAGCAAGACCAAGCACTACAGAACCACATGCGCGCCCGGAACTACCGAGAAGTCATCACCTTGGCACTACAGCTCAACCACCCGGGCCGTCTCCTATCTCTCTTCGAAGACGTGATCAGCAACAGCGCGCCTTCAGCTTCAGGGGCTGCTGCGGACAAGCAGAAACAAGGAGGAGAGGGTGGGGAGAAGAGCAGTATCAGCGGCAGCAGCGAAGTCGATGATGTGCTCGCCCATCTGTCCCAGGCGCAGCTGTACGCCCTGCTACTGCGGGTAAGGGACTGGAACACAAACGCCCGCACCGCTCCCGTCGCACAACGCATCTTACACATCATTCTGAAATCCTACCCGGTGAGCGCTTTCGTGGACATGGCGCGACATCAGCGTCCCTATCACGGGGACCTCGCTGCCTCCGCCGCCGGATATTCAGTGGTTGCAGATCCATCAACGGCGGGGATCCGTGGTGCGGGGGGTGGTGCTGGCGCGCGTGCCGGCGCAACCGCCATGAAAGACCTCCTCCGCGCTCTCGAAGCGTACACGGAGCGCCATCTACGGGGCGCATGGAGGATCTGCTGGACGAGAGCTTCCTGATCGAGTATACGCTGGGCTGTATGGATGAGGGCTTGGGCGCTGGGTTGGAGGGCCGGGCCCAGGCGGGGGTGGGCGGAGGCGGAGGGGATGAAAATCAGCAGGAAACGGATTGGTGGGAAGGGGGAAGTGAGAGTCACAGATGCAGAGGGGGATGGCGATGGCGATGTGGTTATGCTGTGATGAATCAGATGGTAGAGCCGGAGCACGGTAGAAAGAGGTAGCAGGGTATAGAGAGAGCAGGTTGACTGATCCATCCGGGCAGAGACCGTGATGGCTGCGTTCAGCTATGGATGTATGTATGTATGTAGTTCCAACCCTGTGCATGATTCTAGTACCGCTCCCTCCTCCGCTCGCTCGCCACTCTCGAACCGCGGCCCCTATCATCGTCGTCCTCGTATCGATCTCTACCATGTGCACCCTTCCGAGCCAAAGACGAAGATGTCGAGTCATACCGCTGCTGCTGCTGCTGCTCCTCATCACGACGCCTGTCTCTCCTTGATCTGTCACGCTCGCGATATTTGTCCTCCTCTCTGTCTCTCTCCGCATACTTGCTGTCGTGATATCCATCTCGATCTCGATCTCGATCTCGTTCCCGCTTGGAATCGCGATAGCTCTCACGTGATCGACTTCTTCTTCTTCTTCTGCTACCCGCTGACGACGAGCGTCTGGACTCTTCGTCACGGTATTCAATCATCTTCGTCGACGGGGGAGAGGAGCCGTTGGTCTTCTCCCTGTAATCGCCATTTCTTCCCTCTGGGTGATGCTGCTGCTGCCTAGCGGGATGACGCAGTAAGTTGCGGTCCCTGCGATGCCTCCAATCGTCTTCGCCTGTATTTCCCAGCTCGGCCCTTCTCTTCGCCGCGTCGGCCTCCATCATCACGATCGTGGCTTTCTTCCTCTCCTCCAACTCGCGCTCGCTGATCAGCTCGCCCGTCCTCCGATCCCGAAGCATGACAGGCGTATACAAGCCCTCCCCCTTCTTGTTCCGCCTCATATCCGCTTTTCCCCACGCACCCAACCCATCATCCTCGCCCGCTCCCCTTCCTCCCTTACCATCGGCGCTCGCACTCCCAATCTTGACCGCCTTGGCGCCAATGCCCAAATACCCGGCATTCGGATCCCTCGTCTTCATCTTCCCTGCTTCCCTGTTCCTCCTCTCGTCTCCTGCCCCGTCGTCCGGTTTGTTAGGGTTCTTGATCACGATCACCTCGCCGTTGGCGCGCCGTTTCTTGCCCATCCCGCGGAGGAGCGCCATGCCGAACTCTTCGACCGGCAGGGCGGCGTAGTCGGCCAGGCTGGCCGGGTCGGGACGCGAGGCTACGTCGGCGAGGAAGGACAGCGTTTCGTCGGCTGCTGATGAGGACGCCACTGTTGCGGGGTTGTGGTTCTGTGGTTGGGGTTCGATGATGAGGTTCGATGAGGAGGAGGGGGAAGAAGCGTCGCCATTTAGGAGGGCGGAGAGGGCGGCTTCGTCTGCCGTGCGAGGCGTCCTGTCTAACTTCGGCTGTTGAGTAGAGTCAGATAGGAGGCCGTTTTGCGCCGGGCTTCCGTTTGTAACAGCAGCAGTAGCCGTAGTTTCGCTCTGGTCCGCCAGCTGCAACCCAGCTTTCTTGCTCGCTTCCTCTCTTTCCATCGTCGTCGCTGCCCCGTTGCTCACCTCCTTTGGTGCTGGCTGCTGCGGGTCTCCCTCTCGTCCTCCAATCCGCATTCCCCTTGTTCTCAATCACCCTCTCCGCCGTGGCCTTCACCGGCAGGCTTAATATCGCGCCCCCATCAGCTGCGAAGCCCAGCACTGATTCGTGCGCTGGTGGTCTTTCGTCCTCGACGTCATCTTCTGGATCAGCGGTGAAGGCGGGTCTTTTGGGCGCAGGCGCGGTGGTGTGTGTGCCTGAAGGTGTGGGAGTGGAGGCGGAGGCAGAGACTTTCACTTTCGGTTTACCGAATGAGATGGAGATTGGTTTGGACATTGTGGGGCGATTCTATGGAGAACGAGGACTGGGATACAGCAGGTTATGGATTCGTGTGAAAGAATGCCATATCCATCTCCTCAGTAGAAGAGGACAACCAATATTGAAGTGGAGCGTCACGCCCTATTTTTGGGTTACGCCTATTTCTGGGCCCGGAGGCCCCTAAGAAGGCTCGGCGTTCAGCCCTATGTCGAAGATGATCTAATAGTTAAATGTAGGCTTCCCACCCCCTCGAGCAGGGCTGAAGAACTCATCAAATACCCTATCGCTATCATACATAATACCAACCGGAGGACACGTGAAGCACACAATCCTACCGTTGCTTCAATCTCGTAACCTTGATCTCATCCACTTGTGCGATAGTAGAGCTCGCCAACGCTCTAATCTGCATTCGACACCCACAACACCACGCTCAAGCCCGAAACCCTTGCCTCCCATTAAAAGTTTAATGTAGCATTATTGACCACCGAACACATCGTAGTAGTAATCCTCGTCCAGTCCTTCTCGACTCGGCATTTCCGGCGCTTCTCCCATCATGCCCCGTTCGTCAAATCTGACATTCAATAGGCGAATCTTCAATCCATAGCTGCTGACCATATTGATCAGCTTATTGGTCTCTGTAGTGATGGGTTGCTGATTAAGCAACATTAACAGCCCGTCAAGCCATTCCGACGCTATGCTGTGCGACTGAGGATGAAGCGTCAATAGGACCGATTCTTTCTGCCCACGCTGCTGCGGGTTGGATTCTCTCGATGTCTGCCGGGTGTGATTAGTTGTTCGGGAAGCTGGTCCACTGTCATCCAGGGGGAGATATCCGTGAATGGTGATTTTGGTTGTTGCCGCCTTATCGTGGGTGGCAGACTTGACCGAATCACCGCTGTTGGTGGAGTCCGTGGAAGAAGCTGACACGTTGGAAACAACTGATGAGACGATCCCAAGATCGACTGCATCAACCAAGTCAGTAATCTAACGCACAGCTCGCAGGAACCTGAAAGGATTACACGCAAGGGTTACACGAAAGGTGCCACATGCTGGGATCGTCGTGGGGGTGTGGAATGATCTGCACAACTTACTCTTATCAGGTAGGGTATCCAACTCTGGCTCATGATCCAGCATGCTCTCGAAATCGGCATAATGCAGAAACCTTCGGTTGTGTGACAGCTGAACATATCGGAAACTACTCGGCACTGATCTTTTGAGATCCTCTTTCTGTACCGGACCTCCCGGTTCTGGTCCTTTGTATAAAAGTCCGCTGGGGAACCAGGCGCCTTGTAGCAGACAGCGAATGCGCTGTTCTCTGACAAACTGAAGAGCCTCGTGTTGGAGCTCTTCCCTCACTTGCCGGAGATGCTGACCCCAAACATCTTCGTATGTCAATTCCAAGAGTTCCATCTGCAATTCTCGTAGCCGTTGGTATTCGAAGGCAGCCAACTCTTCTTCCACGTCTTGGACATCTTTCGTCCTTGATGCACCACCAACAATGCTTTCCATCAGTATCCTTACCAGCTCGAAGATCTTGCCCAAGTCTTCTTGCTCTGCTCCGGTGGATTTCCAGAGTCTGAAGAATGCATGTAAGCCCGCAACATGCAGCCGCGACCAATGCAGCAGCAGCGGTCTGAAGACTTTGTCGAAGTTCGTTCGTGATTCAAGTGCCAAGTAAGACTTTGCATCCTCGAGGTCCGACTTGTCCACCTCAAAATGCTCGTATAGGATTGCTGTCGTTGCTAACGAAGCTCTCGCAATCGGACAACGCTTGTCGAGCGATTGTGAAGCTTGCTCAAGCAAGAGACGTTGGTACTCGTCCTGATGTTTGCGAACATAGTCTGTAAGATCCATCATGCCGAGAAAACCCATGTCCTGGAATTCGACACTTGGACTCTCGGTTTCGAAGCCAAGCCTTCGCCATTTTTCAGGATTGTGTTTTGGTTTGGCGTCCTCGCTCGATTTGGAGGACACTCCTGCAGGTCTCTCCGGATTGCTCGCCAGATGGATCCCTTTCAGAGCTCTTCGGTGTTCATGCTTCTGCAGGTCAACCGATACCTCTTTCCACTTTCTGAGAAGCACCTTGGTAAGCGCCTGAAATTCAAGCAGAGGATGGGCTAGATCCTGCAATGCCGAGCTTTGCATGAGAACATAGACTGCCTTGATGACACCGAGGTCTTGTAGTCTCTTGATGAATTTGGGCCACTCTGATTCTTCGTCATTGGTGATAGCATCTCTCATTAAACCGTTGATTAGCTGCAAGGCATTCGCGCATAACGCATGGTCCGCTGATGACAATCGGCTGACAAGCATCTCCAGGAATTGTGGATAGATTGCAATTGCCGGCTTCAGTGCTTTGAAACCAAACAGAGCGCTCTCGGACGATCGATTGGGATTGTAAGGGTGCGAGACAATCAAAACCAGTACTGACATAGCTCCTCGAAGAATGTTGACCAGCGGATGGGTCACCACCAGCTCCACTACCTACCCGCCTCATTAGCCATAAGCTGTATCCACGCCGCATGTTGTGTTCTTACTCGTTCGATCAAATCTTGCTCCACATAGTCCCAACCTTTGTCCACTTCCAACAGTCGACTGAAACTTGTCAGGCTGTATGCCAGAGTATTTCCGGTTGCGTTCATTGTAAGATGTTTGAGCTTTTGTAGGCCGCCGTCTTGAATGAACATTTCTGCGAAAGAAGGATCCCCAATGTTCGATTGCAGCTTGAAGACGGCCATCTTGCGTACTGCGTCTTCTTCGCTGCCGAGTCGTTCCACCAATTCGGGCACATCGACGGTATCCATACCGGCAAAGTTGGCCGGATACCTTACCGAGGCAATGTTGTAGGTAGGTGCTGGGAGTAGGAAGACTGGACGTGACGCATCCCTTGTGGCGAAAGCGCAAGATTTATCACACTGGGAGTCAGATTCGCACGAGGTGGGGGGTTTGATATTGGATTGTGAGAGGCTTTGGAGCAATGTGATGCAAGTTGATTGACTATTGGAACTGCTGTCAATTGATTCAGTAGCCAAAAGGGGACAAACCACATTGGATGGCTTGTGCGCAGGAGGATCGACAGGGCTAAAATTTAGAGTTCGGGTAGATGCTTCTGCGCTAGGGTCCCCAGAGATCGACGCCGATTCGTCAGAGCATGACTGCCACTCTGAAGATGTCTCCGATCTGATGAGCTTAGAGCGCGACATGTTGGCTATGAGTTTTCGCAGATGTCATGACAACGCAGAGTAGAGCATAAGCATCACTACATATTGGATAACGTCGTAGTGCACACTCTGGGAGATCATGTAGCGCTCCCAACGCAAGACCGAAAATTTCTACTCAGATTAGGCACCAGAAAAAGGCGAGAAGGTTTAGCAGCCAGGCAAAAGTATGTCCGTGTAGCAACTTTGCTCGGTCCTGAGCTCTGCCCTGCATGCCATGATATGGCATTGTACATGGTATGGCAAGAGATCATGCCTCCTTGGTTTTACTACTGGTCCTTATGTGGCTTCCGAAGAATTCCGGATATGCAATTTGCTCCAGACTTTACAGCAGTCATGCCTGCCAAAGAATGTCTGGCTCATCAAGCGAGTCTATTGGAGGTCTGCCACAGGCTGATTGCATGATTAGCCTGCCCCCTTCTTCTTCTTGTCCTCGATGCAATCAATATTATCCTCGGGAATATCCTCATATCTTTCCGTCAGCCAGTCGTACACATCATCACTTACGTCTCCTTGCACCGTGATCTCCTCTCCACCACTAGCTGTCTTCGTGACACTACTTCCCGTAGCAAACTTCTTCCCTAGCTCCTTCGCAATCTTCTTTAAATCCAATCCATGCTCCTCAAGCCCCGAGACAACCGTCACGTATTTACGTTTATTTCTTTCCACGCGCTTGATGAGAACTTTAGCGGCTGCTTTGCGCTCGCTTTCACGTTGCTCGTTTAGAGCTGCTTTGGCCTCTTTCTTGGCTGCGTCCTTTTGGGCTCGCTTTTGCGCATCAACGGAGAGTGCGGACAGGTTGGCATTCAATGCATCTAGAACACCCTGAGATCAGCAATTCTATCTGAGAAGAAGAGGTAGCACTAAAGTCGACGATACCGTCAGAGTAAAGCTTCTCATGCATGTCAGGATGGTGCTTTTCGAGCCATTCCTCGCATTTTTTCACCGTCCCCCCAAATTCGCAGTACTACTTAGACCAGGCATCAGCTGAGCGGTGGTGAAAGCGGTGCGATTAGGTAACAGTTTGGCACGTAGCTGCGACACGAGCATACCTCAGGAGGCAAGGTGCAGACTGGGCGTCTCCATGGTCAGTAAAGGATTGGTCAGGGACGCAATTTCAGGTCCGCACCTCCACAGTATATGACATTTCGAGCTTGGGACTCGCTAGAAACGCCGGGTACATTCTCTGTCGCGGTTTCTCCCGACATGTTTTCAGCAGAAAGCAAGGTGAAGATTGTATTAGTATTATTGATAACTTTGGTACTTCGGCTACCGCTGCGCTCTGCCAGACATGCGGACAAACTGAGGCGCAGAGATGAGGGGAAGGCTCCGAAGATTCCCGAGCCTTTTCCTTGGCACAACTATCAAACAACTTACGATCAGCGTTCCAGGACTTACCCCGTAGCAGTCATTTTGAGATGTTATTGCGAATCTTTACTCTCGATCATCAGTACGGGAAGAATACGAAGTCTTCGTGTTTGAAGCGTTTGACTAAGCAGAAGCTAGTTGGGTTCGATGGGGAAGATACTCCGATCCTGTCCGCTGAGCCCCAGCATGCTACTCGAAAGGATGATGTAAAGCTTACTCAATGTAGCAAGGGGTGTTTTCAATGAGTACATGTATGCTATAGACTTCCTCGAGTGCGGGATGGGATTTAAAATGTCGATCTCCTTCATGGACAAAGAACCTGAAACGACAAACCGGTAGATGGCGCGCCCTTCGTGTCTATATCCTACCCACGTTTCTCTAGATACTACTTCACTAGCTGCTCCAGCCGTCAATAGCGCCCTCTGATGTCTGGTTCCCTGCAGAACCGCGCACACACAACATCGACTAGGGACACAAAGGAGAATCTTCGGTAGAAGGCTGTGCCTTCACATGCCATTACACCCTGCAGATACGATAGTGAATGTGGTTTGAGCTTAGCCGGGGTGCGGAAGGCGGTTTCCAATCTGTTGAGACGTGGGCCAGTCAAGAAATTCTCAAGAGATGAGCTAACAACTCAGGAATTCTTGTAAATAACCGAAATTTTGGTATCCCTGTCATCCTGGCCAAGTCCATACAGAGCAATGCCATTGTAGCGTCCTCGGAAAGTAAACCTGTAGCAATGGAGAAGATGAATGCACACGCAATGCTGATAAGAAACAGTTGATGTCGAGGTTTGGTGAGCCGGACAACGTCCCAGAGATTCACACGGTTGGACATTCCTCAGCTTTGTGCGCCAACACAACAAGTCGACAGAGTCGTGCATTGACTGCCGAAGATAATGCATGATTCTAGTCGATTTTTTGGCCATGCTGAAACAGGCTTGCTATGCGAGGCATAAGAGAGATCCCTTTGTCTGGGTTGATTCGATCCAACATGAATGGGTTAGGTGATAAAATCTCCTTCATGAAAATACCGAGTGTTCAAAGTGAGCGACCTGGCAGGATCAGCTGGCTGCAGACTTCGATATCGTAGGAGTTCGTTGGAAGTGGCATATCATTTTACGTGGACTTGATCCTGTTCAGACAGATTTGCAACGTAGCCACCGGAAGCCACAATCGAGTGCTATACATTGCAGAGAATGTCGCTGAGGGCCAACTTCATAGATGAAGCTCTGCTTTCGCCGCCAGGACAGTTAGCTAGATGAAGACACAAGCCCGAGAACTCTATGGCACAACAAGATGTGAGCATTAGATCCAGGTGGCTCTTCGTCTACTTGAGGAAAGATCGTGAAGGTCCACAGATTGACTCAACGAATCAGTCTTCCAAACTTTGGGTAATCTTGAGGAATGCTTCGAACCCAGTGAGATAGCCGGCCCGACAGTCCCCTCGTCTCACTAAAGCTGGAAGGTACTCGTCGAACTGGGTGGACGCCTTTTCCAGAAAGTTAATTAAACTGGAACACAAAGGCCCATTATATGCAGAGACGGTCAAGAAGGTTTAGTGGCCTTTTTGTGTGGTAGATATTGCGAGTATGGGCATTTTCCTCGACACATCAATATGCAAGAAGCACCTGGCAAGGAGCCGCTTGTGCCAGAAGGCTTGCGTCACCTAAGCGAACGGACCGATTTAGTGACAGACACTTTCGTGCCCCACCGAAATCGTCCACATCGCGCAAGTGTTCGCTGAACCTTCGTGATACCAGAGTATGTCTTATCAACTCGACAGGCTGTCCGGGAGAGTGCTTTCCCTGTCCTTGAATGGCGGGATCGTAGTTCAAGCTTGCGAAATACTGCATGGGCGTGTAGCAAGGGTCAAGATACAGAAATACTGAGCGGGATCAGTCAGCACGCAGCGTGGCAGGTTGGAAAGACCATGATGGGGACTGTTGTTATCTGCTGAACCCTGACTATCAGAATTTTGGCCACAGAACAAGCGGTTGGACCATCCAGCCATGAAGAGAAAAGAGCTGCTGATAACTTACTACGTCCTAATCCTCACTAATCTTGCTAAGGATAGATTACTGCTCGGCCTACCACGGGCTCAGTATATGGCTCATGTCATTGCGCGGCTGGAGTCCTTCATCCTGCGCAACGTTCCACCGCGGGCAGTTGTGGACCCTTAGGCCTTGAGCTACCAGCATCTGACAGAGACTAGTGGAGATTCTTGTCCTCCGTTCTTCGCGTCAAATTACCGCAGCTGCGGCGAAACGTTTTGGGTCCTTTGCGATGATTTGATGTATGGCGATGAACCTCGGTAATACTGGAAAGTTCAGTGATAGGGATGAAGATCTTCTAAAAAACGTACGGTACAATGCAACCTTGCCGCCACAGCGAGTCAGTCACCAGCTTCTCAGACCACCTTCGCAGGACGCAGGACGCTGAACGCTGAACACTGAACGAAGACGGCATGTGGCTTTGTGGAGTCGCCTGTAAGCCGAGATACTACTAGCAGGGCCGACGTGTTGACTTGGCTAGTAGCGCCTCGTAAATAACAAAGAGCTCTGGCCATTGTGTAATATAACTTCCTGTTTTTATCCGTTGCCGCTTTGCGTGGGGGTTCATGAAACCGGGGAACAGGGGATGCCTGTAGCCTGCCATTCCTGCTGTATTGCTCCAGATCATGAAAGAGAAGGGCCAATGCACGTTTTGATATTCATGGGTGCAGCCAACTTGCCCTATTTCATGTGCACTGAGCAAGCAAGAGCCATCAACGAATGATTAGGGAGAGCACGTTATGTCAATAGAGTTTAATCGGTCCTTGGGTCTCCAGTAAAGAGAGTTGGGCGATCCTGGATAGCGGTTCTGTGGAACCTTGCTTTTCAGTGGCTAGTCGTTCTTTTCTTACTCATAATGAGGTAAAACTGGGCCGCCAGAAATCCCCCGCGTGGGCTGATAGCGGTAGACTGGGCGCAAGGTCGCCAAAAACGCCATAACTTGAGCCACAAGCTAAGGAAAAGTGTTGTGAACGGTTCAACAATCCGTGAAAGCCTTACAGCAAGAGGCTAAGAGCCTAGACAATATTTCTTCTTGCCTCCTCCAGGTTGATGCTGATGTCCCTGGTCCTGGCCCCTCCCTCCCCTCCTCTCCTCGAGCCCTCGTCCATGCTAGGTTTAAGGTTCGATAATCATCCTCGACTCCAAACTGTCTCAAAGACCTTTGGCCCATCGGCCCATCTCGTCCCTCCTCCAAGGACAGAGAAAACAAAATTCGGATCTTGTCCTCGCTCAAATCTCTTCTTCATTTGCCCCAATTGTCCCCAGATGTCGATGTCCAGAACACGATCCTTCTATCAATCTCGCCCTTCAACATCAGCATCCACATAGCTAAATACATAGACTCACCTTGTTATCTAGGACGATCGCTGCCGACCCAATTGTCTGCTCGCACTCGTTCCCGCGCCATATCTACAACAGTGGGCACAAGAGTATCAAAAGACTGGCCACATATCGTTGCATCTGGTTTACGCGCCGAGTTCTTGTGAGGCCATAATAATTGGGGTCAACGCCCTCACACTGAGTGACGGGTCCATAGTGGGGGTATCCTCGAGATATCAAAAATAGTCAAATCTACTCGATATAAGACCTGTTGCTCATGGTGCGCTCCGATGACCGAAGTGCTCTCAGCTCCTGGCGATGGGAGCTCACATTTTGCATCCAGTCCTTTGCATAGATCTCCATCTCATTCTCTGGTTTCTCTCAACACCTCGAGCCGGTATCTCCAATCATCCAATTCAACATATCCGCATTCTGAATATGGCGCCGAATGCTCTGCCTCCGCTCCATCATCTGCACCATCGTCACCGCAGACCGAACATCACGGGTTTTCCCGGCAGTCTTCATACGCCTCTACACCTGCAAGCAGTCTCTCTTTGGACACGAGGGTCGATTTAGACGATGAAGATGTGGACATTGCTTTTCCTTCCTTTGAAGGAGCGAAACAAGCTGAACACCATTTGGTACGAGTTGAGGAGCCCAACTCTTACGCTGAGGAAGACACCTTGGCTCGGCCTCTAGCACTACAAAGAATCGCCTCTTCAGACTTGCCACATACAATTCATGACGACCAAGCCGTGGAAGACCAGCCAACCAGACATGTCGACTACCTGTCACACGAATGGAGGGAAGAAGATATCTGGTCTTCGTGGCGCTATATCGTTGCTAGAAGAAATGTGTACAGTAACAGTGTGAGGTTAGAGAATGCTTCATGGAGAACCTGGACGAAGGCCAAGTACCAGTTGAAAACCGTCACGCCAGAAGCCCTTAATTGGTATTGCTCAACGACCTGATCGTCTCCGAACCATAGCTGACAATGTATCAACAGGCTGAAAGACTGTGACGTGACATGGCTTTACGGTCCGCTACACTCAGATGTAAGGAAGTCTTTGAATCCGTCAAACTCCCCACCTCCAAGTCGTCTGTCTACTTCATCATCCTTCCTTGACAAAAAGCCGATTCTAAAGAAAAAATCCGTTTCGCAAGTTATTCTTCAGCGCTCTATTTCATCACACTCGCTTTTGCAACAAGCGGGAGCCATGCTTCAAGCCCAACAGGCAGGCCCCACTAAAGGACGGCCGTCGTATGAAAGGTCAACGTCGGACTTTCCTGTAGCGACTTTCAGTCGAGACTCTGTGGCAAACACACCAGCTGGTGAGGAGTCAGTCAGTTCAGCTAGTACGAGGCACTCTGGGAGCTCCTCTGGTCTTCAATCCCCTAGCGAACGCAGACATATCCACTTCAACAATGAAGTTGAGCAATGCATCGCGGTCGATTCAAAGGAAGACGATGAAGTGGAAGAGGAAGGACCACAAAGTACCCCTAGTGAAGACGACGAGGATGACGATGAAGGTATCGTCATGATGAAGCAGGTCCCTTCGAGAGCCAAAATCAGCAATCGAAGCACCCCTAGGAACAGCTTTAGTAATGAAAGCAAGACGATAAAACCTCTTCCCTCCACAACATTAAAATATCGTGGAGACACACCGGAACCTAACGAGGCGCAACAATCGCATGGATTAAACGGATTTTGGCCCACCAGAAAGACCTTATCGCCCTCTCCTTCGCAGGAGACCCTACGCCCACCGAGGCCCCAGGCAAATTTCCTTCTGGACGATGACGACGAGGACGTTGACATCCAATGGCAGCCGTCAAGTTATATGAACACTGCACCGTCCTATAGCGACACCTCATCTTTCCATTACACGGATCCACAGTCAGAAGACGAATATGATCCTGGTCCCGGTTTGCGTCGTACTCCTTCTGGTATGTTCATGCCGTACGATGAGGATGAAGAAGAGGCAGCCATGAACAACAGCCTCTTTGGAAGAGTCGTCGACACTGTTAATACCGCCCGAGACATCGCCCATGTGATCTGGAATGTTGGCTGGAGGCGCTGAAAGCTTTTTGGCACATGCTTTTGACTCTTCATGATCATTTCGCCCTTCCAAGATCCCATCGCACCATTTGACTCCAATTACTGTAGTCTTTTGTTTCCTGCATTGCGACTGGCGTTCTCGATTGAGCGATCGGGAGCTGGCATTCTGTTTTTGTATTGGCGTTTGAGGAGGCGATCCGAGCGACAAGCTCCGAAAAGTGCTTTTCTCTGACGACGTAAATCTACGAATTCTTTTCTCTCGTGCTTGTCTTGTACCCTTCGACCACTATCAGCAAGGGGATGTTCACTGGCTGGCTGAATGGGATATTGGCGGCTGCACCTCTTCAAGCAGTGCTCAGACCCAATCACTATATCTATAATAGCGAAATGGCGACAAGATGGAGCTTTCTGGAATGGGTGAGTTTGTTGATAGTGCTGTATATAGACATTGCTCTCTTTTCATAGAGCAGCTGCAGAGCTGAACAGTGATGCCAGCATGAGAGGAATGGGGCTATACCTTACCTACTTCACCGTCTTGTTTCTCCCTGTGTCTCCTCCCAAGTGTTTTCCCTTTTCCAGCAATCTCTTCTTGATCACACCATATGTTAACTCCGTCAACCTTCATCTCATCTCCATCCTCCTAACCCACCGCAACACCAGCAGCTCAAACATTGTAAATACCGGTATGGCCCTGCAAAGAACCTCCACCATCCCGCTACCCCCAGCGCTATCAATGTGTCAGCTCTACCGGTTCGACGCTCTAAAAAAAGCCAAAAAGGTGACACGGGAGAGCAAAGAATCGACAATCGAAAACCAAATCACACCCATCTACCCCATCTTACCTCACTCCCACGAAAAAAAACAATGTACAGAAGGGGGAAAGGGGGCGAAGAAGAGAAGAACCGAGTTACGCAAGTCCTCCATTCTCCCTGACCTCCTTCTTCGGGCCTTCTTGGAAGAACTCCAGCACCAGCACAGTGCTGTACAGTACAGTACATACGATAAAAGCAAAAAGCAAAAAGCCAAGAAAATCACCCTTTCAAGAACTTCCCCTGAAATGGGGAAGTTAGATGAGGGAAAAAGAGACGGGGAAAAAAGAAAACAAGAAAGGAAAGGCAGTCACCAGGACAATCTACCGTGATTTAATTTTTTTCGATCGATCAACTAACTGTCTCTGTTGGAGCGTTGCGCACAAGGCCACATGCTCATGACATGGGGGAAAGTAAGGAGTATGGAGGCCCGTGGATACGGGTTAGTAGTTTTTTGAGAGTGGAGATGCTGACGCGATCTGAGAGAGATATTTTTTTCATGGGTTGGATGTTTTGAATATATTAATTTGTTTGAGGATTGGGGTCTATCTAGGAGGACCGGACTATGGAACCGGGGTTGTTGATCTCTTCGGTTTGCATTTCGAATCGATGGTGCAGGTAGTGCTGGCTCGGTGGATGGGATGGGATGGGATGGGGCCGGACCATGGGATCTTGCAGTACCAAGGATGAGGAGGAGGAGGAGGAGGAGGAGGAGGAGGAGGAGGAGGAGGAGGAGGAGGAGGAGGAGGAGGAGGAGGAGGAGGAGGAGGAGGAGGAGGAGGAGGAGGAGGAGGAGGAGGAGGAGGAGGAGGAGGAGGAGGAGGAGGAGGAGGAGGAGGAGGAGGAGGAGGAGGAGGAGGAGGAGGAGGAGGAGGAGGAGGAGGAGGAGGAGGAGGAGGAGGAGGAGGAGGAGGAGGAGGAGGAGGAGGAGGAGGAGGAGGAGGAGGAGGAGGAGGAGGAGGAGGAGGAGGAGGAGGAGGAGGAGGAGGAGGAGGAGGAGGAGGAGGAGGAGGAGGAGGAGGAGGAGGAGGAGGAGGAGGAGGAGGAGGAGGAGGAGGAGGAGGAGGAGGAGGAGGAGGAGGAGGAGGAGGAGGAGGAGGAGGAGGAGGAGGAGGAGGAGGAGGAGGAGGAGGAGGAGGAGGAGGAGGAGGAGGAGGAGGAGGAGGAGGAGGAGAAGGGCGTATGGATCGTACGCCTTGGGTCGGTTGTTTATGCTCGGAAGTTCAGTGACTTTCATCAGAGGAGGATGAAACGGAGAACTTTCTATGAATGGTGGTTCCGGGAAAGTCTTGAGGTTGTTGGGAGCATCTTAAACCCAAAGGGAAGAGATGCGCATGAAGCGTCCATGACTTAAGCCCTGGTACATTTGCTGCTAGTCGACCAGCTTTGCTACAACCCCCTTCACGGCTGGAAGACCACAAGCACAGCCTCAACCCACCCCTATCTACTCCTCATCCTCATCCGCCTTCCCATCCCCCTTCTCCGCCAAAGCGCCCAAAGAACCATCATCCCCCTCCTCAAATGTCTGTAGCGGCACGTCGTACAATCTGATCAACTGCTTGTTCGGATCCTTGACCAGGACATACTTCTTATCCTCGCTCCCGCTCAAGCCCCTAACGAGATCCACAATTGTCCTCACAATCCCCCATCCATTGCTGAGGCCTAGATTCATCTGGCTAGCAAACTCCCTGGGCTTGTAGCCTACCACACCCAGGATGACGTGGCTGGTGTTGCTCTTCGGGTTGGCGCGACTCACAAAACCAAGTTTCATCTGATCCGCCTTTGCGAGGATGGCCTGGGTTGTCCATCTTGCCAGTTTGCAGCTGTTGTTCTTCATCTCGGTAGCCACCACAGCGCCACGCTGGCTCACGAGCTTAGTGCGCCAGTCCAGCGCTCCGCCCGAGCCCTGGGCTTTGTGGTCGAACTCGTTGAGAGCTTTGATGGTGAGGAATTGGTCTTCGCCGCTGATGTTGTTCTTGACAACAGCGTCTAGTTCGGTGCGGACGATGAGGTGGAGGGGTTCCTCATCCTTTTCAAGGGAAAGATCGAAACGACGATATTTGTATGCCTTTGAGGCCAGGGGTTCGGTTTCCTCAGCAGGATTGTAGAAGGGATTTGGGTGAGGGAAGTCGAGTCTGGCACTGTCTGATTCAATGACGGTCTGGAGACCGACGTTATGATTGATGATTGTCGCTTCGAGTGCTAAATTTGAGGGTGTGTTGATGCTGTCTGCTTTTACTCCAGTAGATTGTTGGTTGGTGCCTCCTTGACCTGTTTCTGCCTCTAGTGGAGCGTCCGCTGCATTTTCGTTGACAGTCACAAGATCAATTGTTGAGTCAATGCGTTTGTCTAGGAAGATCTTGTTACCGTGTCTGAGTATAACAATATCCCAGCTGTAGACGGAACGAGTGGCACACATGAGCATGGAGAGGATATCGGAGGTCGCAAATATAGTTGCTTCATCCTTTTCAGCGAGATCTTGAATGATGGGGTCTTGAGAGGTAGTAACGTTGTAAGCTGCCCGCTCGAGAGACTGGAGCTTCCGCTCGGCCATTTTCGTTTGAGTTTTGTCATAGCTGCGGTCGTAGTAATAGAGGAAACCGTAGCTGTCGATGTCTTCACCTTCCGAGGTTTCAAGATTGAGTTTCAGTAGGCGGTTGAAGTCAATTTCTTCTTTCATCGACCACTCAGGTCGGATGTTGACTGAAGAATCTCGGTTTCGCTGTGGTTTGTCATAGTCTTTCCATCCAAAACGACGCCCTCTGCCACCCCGTCCACCACGGTTGTCATAGTACTGGTTGCCTGTTTGAGCGGCACCTCGACCTTGACCAACTCGTTGAAAGGCGCCTCTTCCTCCACGTTGTGCTGCACCTCGTTGGCCACGACCACGGAAGACTGTACCTCCACCTCGCCCGAAACCACGGGTCTTAGCGGAGGCTCGTGTGTTATCGACGACAGAAAACGATGACTCGTCCTCGGCTACCTGAACTGCGAAAAGGGACGAGGTGCCGGCACCATACACTTGCTGATCTGACGATAGACATCAGGCTGGAGTCCTGAAGCGTTCGTTCGCGTTACTCACCTCTGTAATTTCGGTTGAATTGACGGCCGCCTCGTCCGTCTCTACCATCTTTTCCTTCCTGCGTCCAGTCTGCCATACGGCCAAGTTTGTCACCTTTCGAGTACGGGGCGTACGGGACCCCATCGAGAGTGGTGCTGGTAACAGTTTCCGGTCCCCATTCATCATCAAGACTCAGGGATTCGATAGTGTCGGCTAGTGAGATTGAAGGCATTGTGAAGAATTCAGTACCCGGTTGGTGGAAGTCGAGAACATAGCCTTACGCGGAGAAGCTCCCACAATGAAAATGTTAGTGCGACGGAAATCTTGGCGAGTTCTTGTAGGTTAAGATCACGTGATACGATGAACGGTTTCGTAGCAAATCTCTAAGTTAGAGAGGAAGAGGTTTGGGGATGTTAGCTGGAAAAGTCGATTGCTCATTGACTACATGCGCTCCGTCTATTTCTGAAAGCAACGCTATGTTCCTACATCAGTAAGCGTTTACAACCAACACATGGGAACCAATCGAGTACCATTGCCAAACAAATGTTGCTCAAAGCCGAGATCGCTCCAACCATTTCTGTTGCCTGTTGCCTGTTGCCTGTTGCCTGTTGCCTGTTTCATCTCATAAATCGTCTGCTCGTAGCTGCTCATCACCACCATACCCCTGATCATAATAGCCATACTTCGACGCAAATATAGCTTGTAACGCATCCCGCAACTCGAAATCTTCCATGACTGCTCCGAATCCATAACACCGTATCTTTTTCTTGACTGACTCGGTCATTGCCCTTACGTCCTCTGCGGTCAGGGACAGATATTGTGGATGAGACTTGAGCTGCTGCAGGGCCATGATTGGTGTTACCTGCCCTCCTTCCATATGTCCTTCGCCTGCTATCTGTTGACTTAGATTGAGGAGGATGTTAAGAGTGTCGGCGGGAATGTTCGGGACTTGGTGCGGATAGGTCGGCTGTAACCCTCCTTGTTGTGCTGGCACAGTGTCGATATGTGTAGGGGGCGGACAACATGCCATCAGGGCATGACCTGAGAATTGGGCTTCTTCGGGGTTGTCAGGCGAATTAACTGAGCGACGCACTAGATACTCCCCATGATCACGGCACGTGGCTTCAAGTCTGCGATCAATGAAATTAGCAGCTGATTACATAGGTGACAAGAACACTTACGCAAGTATGAAGTCGATGCCGAGCTGCTGATTGCGCTCGAATATACCAGGCATATCAGGAATGCCTGTAGGCTCTTGTTTGATAGCACGTTCAGATATTCCAGGTTCTGCTTGCGAGTGCCCATGAAAGGCACCGCCCGACATTGGAGCTTCAGTGGCACTGGCTAGACGGCCATTGCTGTATTTCTGCCCTATTGCTGAGCGAGGAGAACGACCGGAAACAGTTGCTGATGTTGGTGAAATCTGCGCGTAGCTGCCGGACCCGGAGCCAGTATTTGGTTGAGCAAAAGAGCCATTCCGAGGCTGCATCATCATGGCTACTTTCCGATTCTGGAATTCCGCCTGAAAATCGATACCATGTGAGGCTAGGATATCTCTCAGTATGATGTTTTCCGTCTGTTGTTCGGCCAGGGCACTCCGATGCTGGTCTAGCGTGTTTTTCATCACTATGGTATCGGCTCCATATCTTTCTCTGAGTCTTGACATTTCCGTCTCCAGAGCCTTGATGTACTGTTCCTTCCTTTCACGATGGGTCCTACCGGGAACATCATCCCATCAGTATAAATGCTCGGGTTTAGTTATGAAAAAGTATATCTACCTCTGTGCTTGCCGATTGAGCTCCTGCCGGCGTGTCTGTGCTGGTTTGCTGTCAGGTTTTGGGCCTCGCCGCTTGGGAGGTTGACCGTCTAGACGGCTGTTATTTGAAGTATCCTGCGGAAAGAGCTATACACACCTCGCGTTACTTTTTTCTGGACGCCGCTAAAGGTCTTCAAAAAGCCCATCGGCAGCGGATTGGGGCTCGTCTGAGAAGTTGGAGAAATATTGCCTGTTGTTGCTGGTGTCAGCAGGTCCATTCGCTACAAGTAGTCTGCTTGCAATAACGACGATTGGCACTTTTTGGGGCGAAAGACACCCAGGAAGCTGCATGCCAGAGGAGGGAGCCATGATGAGAAGAGCAGCTAAATCAGCGTAGTGTATATTCTCTGTGCCATCATAATTCAAGAAACAAATGTTTTTGGGAATGAATACATGTAGCATAATTGGCGCGATAAAGCACTCCAGCTTTTCATTGCCCATTACATTTCAAGCACTCAGCACGTGCGCCCCATTTGCTGACTTGGGAAGGTTTAACGTACTGTGAATGTTTTCAGACGGAAAGTCCTGGCCAGCCCAATTGCTGGGGTCGGTTGGTGACATATTTTGACGAGTTGTATGCGATGCCATGATGGAGGTACATGAGCTCGACGCTGCCTTTTAGCAAAGCCACTGGGTTCCTGCGTCCTCGGGTATGGGAGCAATCGCAGTAAGAGGTTGTGAGATTTCTGCCAACGATCTCCTAGATGTCACACTCCTAGCAACTGCGGTTCAAGCAATGCCCGGAATATAACATTCAGGCTCAATCGCTCAAGCTTCTACACGATTTCGCAAGTATTGATATGTCTCAAGCAAGAGGCCGAATGAGGACGAAATCCGGAATCTATTGCCGTCCACCATAGGTCAAATAAGCCAATCAACGTCCCTTGTGAGCTTCAGACGGATGCGCGACCGTAGTCGAAACTAGATCAGACGTAGAAATGCGAATAATTGGAAACCTTGGTAAATTGCGATATGGGGAATCGAGCTATCATATAACTTTTGAGAGCATCAACGCAACAGACGACCACAATGCGGTGTTGCCACATAGGCTGGACCTGAAGAGAAGTGAGATCTGGGACAAAAGCGTGGTGCGTATGTCTGAAGATGCATGGTATCAAGAATGATAATGTGGATGAAATCGATAGTTTCGGCATTCGAGGACAGCAAAGGTAATTCAGTGGCTGAAAGAGCCGAGGCGACTTACCGCGGGAATATGGGAGGTGTGTAACTTGAACGGCAGGAATTGGTCTTATTTGGTGGCTTGCTTTGGTGGGGAAAGTGGACAAGATCAGTTCAATTCCGCTGTCGGTAAAAGTGTACTATGTGCGAGCAGCAAGCCTCGAAAGATTGATGCGTCAATCAGGGCCCATCAACGCATCTCCAGCATTGGAACAAACGCCTCTAGGTCAAGCCAAGGCCTCGGAATGGGCTGCTCTAATGTGCGGGTTATGCATGTGCTCGGGCAACAATTAGTTACGTAGTAGTTAACGTGCTGACCGCTACTGCATACTTCTTCTCTCAGACCTTACTATCAACAACACATACCGCAGGACGAGAGTGCGCAAGATGGGCTTGTGAAGCGCTCAGAAGTTGGATGCGATTACGTTGCTTCTCAACCGCCTTGCCATCGTTGCAGAGCCACGTACTAGGTCTAGTAGCAAGCAACCAACCATTTGGACGATGCTCTTTGAGGTGTCAAACTGACATCCCGGTTAACCGAATCGCGTCAAAAGATCCGGTCGAACCCGGTTGCCGGAACGCGCTTCATCTTTTCCAACTGCGTCAATTCTTTCCTACTCATTGACCATGCCAACCAGACGCAAGCCGCTTCAGCGTCCGAGTTGTCTAAGCCAACGTCATGGGCGTATCCATATTCAAGTTGTGGGCTGTACATCTGGTCAAAGCCGATGTCGATATCTCCGCACTCCTGCGAGTGTCCTACCTCTTCTTGACTGTTGTATATAATGTTTCGTCCAGGCTTGCTTCGGTTGTCTAGCGAGGGATACAAACAATACTCACAAAATTCAATACGGCCCGGATTACTGTCTCAAAGCTACAGCAGCCAAAGAACGGGTCCGCCATAACTGTCTCCAATCTATTTCCTAGGCAGACTTCTACCTTATTCGACATCATGCCTTGAAACCAGACATGCTTGGACGACGTAGCTGATTTGTTAAAGAACAGCTGAAATGAAACCATTTTCTGGATTGTGGTCTGCGAGCCATGGGCATCCCTAGGTATAGCGGCAGGCGGAATGGTTATCCAACAGAGCTAGACCCTGTGATCGAAAGCTTTTCGCTAGCCCATGTGTCAGTCGAAATTAAAAACTTTTGCCTGGGCAGAGGCTGATACAGCTTTCTTGCAGGGCTCATAAGCTACAGCAAATCTGCACGATACACTTCTCACAAACGTTTTGAGACAGTGAAGTGGTGCAAGCGCCTTGACAAGCCTGTTCCAAAGCACATACTCTTTCCTCAAATCGGAGGTCTGATGACCGACAATCAGAGAGATCCGGGGATCGAGCAGCATCAGCGCTCTCAACGATCTCACATTACCTACGCTTACCGTGACATGATTATGGAAACTTCGTTTATGTGGATAATTCTTTCGGAGCATAGACTGGACAGGGCTTGGAGGTTTAATGCGCCTGCTGCAAGATTTGGTGTCGAGGACTTCGCAGACATATCAGATGCTCAGACTGCATTGTAAGTCAGATAGATGGAGAAGGCAAAAGACGGCAGGGATCACAACAAGAACTAGGAAATAGCATCCACTGATCCAAGGATAAGATAATGAGATGCTATTTGCCTCACGCTTCGGATTGGGAAGTGATGGATCCTTGTACCTCTGCATCTCTATTTGCGTAGGATGATCTAGCAAGCAAGCATCGTGTCCTAATGTACATTGTACATAGTATTACCGCATAGTGTCGAATCTCTCGCGTGAAACTAGATGATTACATTGTCTTAGTAAACATCAACACCATCTGCGATTCCAAGATGGTCAAGACTTCTTTGCTAGAGACCTTCACCTTGGAGCCTCAGGCATGACGCCTTCCCCCTCATGATCTGGTCGCTTGAACAACCACGTTACTATGAGCTTAATCCACAGTGAGAACACTTTCAAAAGCGCATGAAGATAATGCTGCGAGTTCCACCAACAACCACAATGCTGGCGTCATCAAGTCCTTTCAGTCGCTCAAAATGGGCAAGATCGAAGTACTGGCTTACATAGCAGCACCATCGGGATTCAAAGATGACGCAAGATATCTTGCTCAAGCAGGAGCGACAGTAGATTTTGAACCCTGTTCAAGGTTGCAGGTCTATGACCTGGAAGACCACTGGCAAGAAGTGGTCGAAGACCAGGAGTCTTCGTATCCTGTGTCCGGAGAGACAACATTCAACAAGAGCTTCACCCTTTCAGCATGGCACCATACAGATGCTGTATGCGAGACGCCGGCACAGAAAGCTACAAGACATCTACTCAGGCAAGACTCTAGGCATGGCCGGCAAGCTTCTTTAACGAAGACGGGATCAGCTGCTGGTCAAGAAGGGATGGACTTTACAAGAAGCTTCAATTGGAAAATCACGAAGCAGGCAGCTATGCATGATCCGCCCTCTAAGGTACCCAGCTTCCAAGAAACGGCCACAATATCGACTATTCAGACCGCTCGAACACCAGAAATTCCGCGGCCAAAGACTGCTCCAGCAGGTACCGTGACATCCAGACCAAGAGGGCTGCGCAAACGTACACGTTCAGAGTCCTCCTCTTTTGGGTCACTAAAAAGTGTTGTACCGGATTCTCAAGAGAATCAAGCCTCCATTGCGCCCGAAGATTTCGCATCGTCAACAGTCAACACAAGCATACCAAGAGGCTTCGCAGCGCATTTACTATCTAAGGCAGCAGTGCAGGAGCAACCTGCCAAACGTCCCAAACAGTCTGTTAAACGATTACCAACTGACCACGAAGGAGATCTGAGTCAACTCTCAGGGATACCAAACATCTCTCAGCAACCGCGTACAGCCAACACAATGCTTTCAAGTTCGCCGCAGGATCGCCGTACTTTTAATGACTTGACGGAAAGAGCGATGATCTCGTCGGACTCCGCAACCATTTGGCCGCCGAATCCAAGGGGCAATATCACCTACGCACCTTCACCAGAGCAGAAGACTTCTCCCAGAAATCAGCCCTCTGCTTTCTACACCATCCCACCTCCCTCCTCACAACCAGAATCACGCGATGACTGGCTGTTCTCCAGCGCTCCCATTACCGGCACAACATCTAGAACCCAGCCAACCGAGCACAACCACCCTTCCCAACCATTCTCCTCAATCTGCTCCCTTCCACCCTCAATCCACGCTCCTCCACCACCCGTCGGCCACGCAAGCTACATCACGCACCTAACCCCCTCCCTCCGCACACTCGCCACCCGCCTACCGCTGGTAACCTCTTTCCGGCCAAATCTTGTCAAGCGCAACATCAATGACTTGGAGAGAGGGTACTGGTTTCTCCGTATCCCCATCGTACGCACCCCGCCTCTTCAGCCAGAGACCGAGTCCTTAGATCCGAGTAGAGCCGGCGACAGCAGCAAAGATAGAGGCAGAGGCAGAGGCAAAGGTAAAGCTAGAATTAGAGGGCAACCCTGGACCGCATCCTCATTCCTCAGTTTCTGGACCACCCTCGCACAGTTCGTGCAGAGCGGTCAGGCCGGGTGGGGCGTCAGTGTCTACCGTGAGGATCCTCAGCCCGCTCTACCGAAGCCAAGCACCGGCCGAGCGATGAGCGAGCTAGAAACAAAAGAAGCGGATCCAAGAGAGGCAGAGGAGACAGGGAAGACGGCAGTGGTACTGAAGGTGACCTGCTGGGGCGAAATCTTGCCGCATATCTACCTGCTGCTCTGGGTGCTGAGTGATAAGCGTACTGAGGGGGTGAAGATGGAGTGGAGGGATGCCGCGGAGGAGGCTGTGGTCAGGATGGGTTCAGATCAGGGGAGGAGGAGTTGCTGCTAGAATGGGATGCAAGGCTGCGGTGGTATGGCTTCCAGGGCGGGGCGAGGCGGGATTAGACGAACGATAGAGAACTTTAGGGGTGGGGAAGCACCAGAGGAGAGGCGTGTTGCGCGCTGTGCCATAAAGTAGAGGCGGCCTACAAGGCATGTGCATGATTCGCATTGAAAGGTTCTAACTGATTGACTGACTGACTGACTGACTGACTGAGTACGGGAGCTGCAACCAGCCCTGGGATCCCTCCTCTACAGGCAACTCTCAGTCAGCTCTTTGGCCTACTAGTTACATGCTTTACAGCGCGTTCGTAATGTATCGAGAAGGGTGGTGGTCAGCGAGGATATCCGCCCGCCAAAGACATTCTTCCTCATCCATCATCCATGCTAATTCCATCGTTTGGATGAATGAATGAATGGATCTCTCGCCAATCCGTCACCTAGGTTGCTTTGATACGCCATCGCTGTCCATCAGACAGCTGGGAAAGACCAGTGGAAACGGGCACTTGGCTCTCAGCAGGATCTACGAGGTATTTTCGATCTGCCATCGGGCATCAAGAGGCGAATCAGTGGCCGTCACGGAGGGGGTCACGGAGGGGCAAGTGCGCGCATGGGAGCACTAGCAGAAGAGGTTGCTCTGAAATCTTCATCGATTTATCGCTATACAAAGACTATTACAAACGGGTGCCGTAAATCTCAGTGAATCATACTCCTCCCGATCTCACTCCTCCAGCCTTTCGCCCTCTCGAACCCATTCGAATGGCTCTGAAAATCGATCATGGCCTCCATGACCCCCTCACGACTGTTCAGCACAAACGGGCCGTGTTGCACGACCTGCTGGTCCAGGGGCTGACCGGCAAAGAGAATGAATCTCGCTTCTTCTGAGGCGCCTTCCTCCACTTCTGCCGTCACGACGTCGGATTTGCCGTCGTTGTCGAATACCACGTTGTGGTAGGGTGTTATGGTCTTGGTGTTCTCCGGGTTAGGGCCGTCGCTGAAGGATACCACGCCCGAGAGGGTGTATGCAAAGGCGTTCCAGTCTTTGGGTAGTTCTTGGGTTATCTTGCCGCCGGGTTTTATGGTGACATCGAGGATCCAGACGGGCGTGTAGGCCAGATCGCGGACGGAGTCGATGCCGTGGCTCTTGCCCGATATCACCTTGATGTGCACTTTTCCGTCCTCGGTCTCCACCTGTGGGATTTCCTTGGCCCGCAGATCTCGGTATCTTGGTTCGACGGTTTTGAGTTCCTTGGGGAGGTCGACCCAGAGTTGCATGCCGATATTTGGAGAACCGTCGCCCATATCTCGCGGCATCTCGGCGTGCATGATGCCTCGACCGGCGGTCATGAACTGCAGGTCTCCGGCCCAGATGGTGCCTTTGTTTCCGGCGAAGTCTTCGTGGTCGAGTGCGCCGGAGAGGAGGTAGGTGATGGTTTCTTGGCCGCGGTGGGGATGGTCTGGAAAGCCGGCGCCCGGGTAGACGGTGGAGTGGTCTAGCATGAGAAAGGGTGAGAGGTTCCGTAGTTTGGGTGTGCCGATCGAGCGCCGGACGCGGGCGCCGACGCCTTCGGACTGCTCTAGGGCTTGGAAAGCGAAGCGGATCGCTCGAGGTTTAGACATGGTGGTATGTGGTATATTGATATTGGTTATGGCTGAGGCTGGGTTGTCAGATGTGTGAGTAGATGTGGTTGTGAATTGGAAAGGTGGAATGGTTTGCAGTGGACGTCGTGCAGGAATTTATAGATTTCAATTGCAGCACGAGAATACACTAGAAGATACAGGTCAGTGTCATCCAGTGGTCATACCTTGAAAAGCAGAATTATGGTATTCTTATGCTGGCATATTGCATATTGTCATGATTTGCAATAAGATGAGAAAAGTTGGGCTCGGCTTTGCAAGCATCGCATAAGCATACCACTAAATAGTTAGCACAACTAGTAGCTGCTAATGATACCAGATACTTCACGTGATCAATGCTGCCTAGCGACATACCGGTAAGATGTCCGGATAGTCCGGCGCGGGGCAGTTGCTCCTTTAGCGTTTGCCCCGCCATTCGCTCCATTGGAGAAGAGAATCACTGGTCATTTGTCAGTGAGCAGACATTCACACTGATTTCATCTTGAAACCCTTCTTCGATAGTAATCATCCAAGGGATCCTGCCATCCAGTGTCCAACAATATGGCTTCCAACCCTCCAGGGTCTGTATCTCCTGGTGGGAATGACTGCGGATGCTAACAGATCTACTGTAGGTCTTGTTGTTACCATGGCGTTAGTGCTGGACGGTGTTTCCAGGGAAAGCTCGTTGCTAAAGCTTCTTTAGGTCAAGCATGAGGGCGAAGCAGTGGGTCAGATGGGGAAAATTGGAGACGGTGCGTTTTGAGTCCTTATAAGCGCCTCTTGAACGCATCCTGATCTTTTGGCAGTGGAAACATACTTCTCTTATCCGAGCAACAAGTCAACAGAGAAGGCCATCTTACTGTAGGCATGGCCGAGTCTTGCAGTGCCCTGCCAAGGGCAACCAGCTGCCAATGTCTACTCTTAATGTTCGGCACTGACTCACTGCACGCTTCAGGCTTCCTGACGTGATCGGTCACGGCTTCATCAACGCTCAACTCATCGCCGACCAATTTGCAGCAAATGGCTACTTCGTCGTGATGCCCGATGTTTTCCACGGTGATCCTGTGCCACTGAACAAAGCTGAGGACTTTGATTTCATGCAATGGCTCAAAGGTCACCAACCCTCCACGGTTGACCCCGTCGTCGAAGCCGCTTTGGCGGAGATGCGGGAGAAGCTGGGTTGCAAACGAATTGGTGCTGTAGGCTACTGCTTTGGAGCCAAGTATGTTGTTCGACATTTGAAGCCTGACCAGGGAAAGATCCAAGTGGGATATTGTGCGCATCCGAGCTTTGTAGAGTCGCAGGAATTGCAGGGGATCCAGGGTCCATTCGCCATTAGCGCTGCGGAGACCGACACCATCTTCCCAGCAGAGAAGCGGCACGAATCTGAGGAGATCTTGAAGAAGACAGGCCAGCCATATCAGATCAACCTCTACAGTGGTGTGGAGCACGGATTCGCTATTCGTGCTGCCCTGGATAAAAAAGTAACGAAGTACGCGAAAGAGAATGCCTTTTTGCAGGCTGTCCAGTGGTTTGAAGAGCATTTGTAGGCGTGGCTCCGGCAAGGCTGTGAAACAAAGGACAAGATAGTGTTGACGAGTCCAAGTCCACGGATACAAATAGTGGCCGCGGACAATCAAGGACGAGAGCACTACGTGTGGTTGAGAGCTGGTGTCAAACAATATTGCTGTAATGACAGCTGTACTGAGAAGTCAGACTGCAGGTCAAATCGTATTAACTGCATCCATAGTAAATACAGATTGAGTGGCAGCTTGGAAGGTTGAGTAGGGCAAGAATAGCTATCTCATAAAAGTATGTAGAGCGTGCAGAGCAGACTGGGACCCACGAATAGCCCAAACCAGAACATCATGTTTCCGAGGATGTCCCGTCCCTTGAGAAACCTTGTTCTGCTTAACACGACCAAGGGCAACTGTGACATCTGCGCCATCAACAGATAGCCCCTCACCTTCTGGAAGATCACCGCCATGACCAGCTCGTGGACACAGGCGGAGAGTAGGAAGGTGAGCAAGGTGGCAGAGCTGCGGGAGAGATTGAAGGTGGCGATCGAAGAGTGGTAGACGTGGCGGAGGAGGAAGTTGTGGACTGGGCGGTTCCAGTCACGAGCGAATTGATCCCACGAACTGGAATTCCACCAATCAGAGTAGAAGCCCCGATCAGCGAAGAGCGTTAACTCGGCCAGGACATTAAGCTAGGAGGCAATCGGGTTCAGTAAATGACGACTGTCAGATAGCACACCGAGAACTTACAACACACTCCCAAATTACGTACCAGCTTAGGATATACTCCATGAAGAAAGGAAAGAGGAGGTCGCTGAAGACCCACGGAATCTCCTTAAGGCGATCCTTGAGTGGCATGCCATCTTCCTTCTGGTGAACGACATGTGCCACCACAGGGTAGATATATGCCGTGGACACGACGATCATAACACCAATCACTCCGAACGTTGCAATTGTCTTCTCAGCAACATAACTCCAGTTTATGCTTGGTTGACGAGGATACTCCAGCTCGTACACAACGGTCGGCAGCGGTATGTAGCCATAGAAATCTCGCAGAGTAAGATTCCTCGGATAGTGGTTCTGCGTGGTGGAAGTCTTTCCCTTGAGTTCTTCCGTTATGGACTGAATCTCAAAGGAGATGAGTTTACGCAAGGAGCGAACCTGAGCGAAGTCAAGTGGAGCATCAGAGGCGATGGCATCGGCAATGCTTGAGATGTCGTTGTCAACCTCCTGCATCTTCTTCTCCGGGATCGATTTGCGACGGCGGGACAGTTGATCAAGATCTTTCGTGTCCAGATAAGACGTCACATATGCAACATCGGAGCTGGGACTGTGGTTTGTTGGGCTCATCACTTCTGGGTCATCAAGGGCTTCGAGTTTCTGCTCGAGAATACGACGCCTCTTATACAATTCTGATACTGCACGTCCTGTTAGCGGACCTTTCAGTAAGAAGGGAGCACAAGAGAAGACATACAATGTCCATTATAGAATGCGTAGCTATGTTGCTTCATGAGCATTGTAATGCAGTGTAGTGTAATGAAGACTGAATGAGTCCATGGCCAATTTCGGTATGCGGGAAATGCAAGGTAGGCGACTAGGAAGACAAGTTGCCACGTCTTGTAAAGCGGTCAGCATTATGACACATAATCATGAAGAAGGCCTGTGGACAAACGTTTTGCACGATCCACCCAGACCTGTTCCAAGTGAGGTATCCATGCAGAATCATCTTTTGAAGAAACAGGCAGAAGACAGTGCTTGCACACATAACGCCGTCCGTAAAACCCATCACCACAATGTCACGGCTGAGCATCAGGCGGACAATCTCATTGCCGCCGAAAATGCTGCCATACGTTCGCCAATTATCGGCCGATATCCGAATCAGCAGCAAAGATACCCCCATCCTGTTAGAGTCGTTAGTTGGTGGAAAGGGGCATTTTAGGCCACCAAGGACATACCAGAATAATGAGAAGAACCCGTGGAAAGGACTTGATGCGCTTTCGCTATTGTGCCTGTCGAAAGCTGTGAATTGACGTGTGAAGACGAGGTCGCTAAACCTCGAACGTTTCTTCTTGATGCCCCCATCTTTCGACCTCTCAAAGCCTTGCTTCAGGAGATCTCGAAGCTCCGGATCCTCAGCAGTCAGTTGGTAGCGACCAGCTTGGTCGGTCTTCTCGAGTCGGACGGTAAGACTCTTACGGCGCTGAGATATATGTTTCTTGAAATCGGTGTCATCATCTGGGTCCTCAGAGTTCTGAGAATGGTGGCCTCGGAGTACGGCAGATTCACTTTCTGTAACTGGCTCCGGAACCAACCCATGCAGCTCGCCATGAACACTCTCTTCAGAAGAGACAGTGGAGTCTTGGCTATATAGTTCTGGTGTTCCAGTACCACCGTTCGGATTCAGGCTATCAGGTTGCAAAGATGCTGTTCCATCTGCAGCAAGTACACCAATGAGGTGCGATGCACCTTCGAAGGAACTGACAGTGGACAACGGCGTTCGCGCAGCCATGCAAGGAGGTTTACTCAAGCATGCATAACACAGGCCTACCGTCTATGTTTTGATGTAGTATGTAAGCTCCTGCCTAATCCCAGCTGAGTGTCAGCCTCGTTCTTTTGGAAAATTCACAGGCGACGTATTCCTTCGGATCCGCATCCGCCCGAATTCGTGTTTTTGAATTGTGCCTGCAAGACACTGGTACATTCCAACCCCAATGGATGAGCGAATAAGGACATGGAGGAGACCAGTACCTTCCAATAGAGTGCGACTCTCTGACGGAGCAAGAAGCGAACTTTGACTAGCTACTCGTTGGGTGGCAATTTCCAGTGGGAGGGCTCTTTGGCCTTCGCGCCTTATTTAAAGCTCCATCGTCCGGTGTAACAGCCAACCTCGATGCCCGACTTCCATTCGCTCACACCACTTACGCTAAGTATATGATTCTTGTACCGATCAGTCCGAAACAATGTGTCTTCAACACCCCCATCTTTCCGGTAGGGTCAAAAGTAAGCCGCGCTATCATCCAGACTACGCAATCAGCCCAGAAAGTTAATCAGATTGCGTCAAAGTCCCCGATTTACGACTGCCACTCCCTCGCTAAAAATAGCTTAGGCATACAGCTAGGGAGAAATTAATTTGATGAAAGATCAGCTTTTTGAGGCGATACCATGGTAGGCTTCTCATGCTTGAATCTATTAATTCTGGTCTCAGGACTTATATTCGCCGTTGTACGATCAACATATCAAGGAAGTACGGTGAGGAATGCTGCGATCTGTGCCCTTCTGCTCGACTCGACGGGACGTGGTACAGTTGGGCGACATGAGAGATTCCGTAAATTGTTCCAATGTTGGAAGTTTGACCAAAAGAGAAAACGGGAAAATGATCAAAATACATGCTACCAACAGCGATGAGCAGTGACGAAGCATACAGAAGTACAGCCAACTGGTCCCTCTGTATGAACATGATCAATATAGTTTGGTGATGAGTTGCCTTTTATCATATCTTCTACCATGTATTCATATTGCCGTATCTGTTGAGAGGATAAGTTATGTTTCTGATATCTTCATATGCTTTCTCTCAATTGTCTCTCTTATGTGTCAAGCCTCAAATATGACCGCGTTTGACAGCCAGCTCCAAGTTGTCCCAGGTCAATTTTACCCCTTACACTCTTCACCCGAAGCCGCGTTTGAAACATTTGGCTTACCTAGCATTCGTTTTGGAATCCCACCCATCTCAGCACCCACTGCTCCATTACTCGATGGCCATCCCAGTCTTCAGAGCTGTGCTGTTACCAATACCCGCTGCAATTAGGACGCAGTATCATGCCTCCGGAGTCTTCTCAAATGCTTGACCCCGCTGGCTGGATCAACTGTAGCCTTGCAATAGCTCTTGACGTTTTTGTCCGTACATGAGATAAGCAGCATTCTTTAAACATTTAAATAGCAACTCGTCTGATCGTAAGTATCTTCTTCTACCAATCCTCATTCTGGCCCGCAACACAATACGAGTAACAGCTATAGTCGAGTGACCCTTGACCAAAACGAGTGTAAAGCGTCTCGTGCTGCACGCAATCAATCAATCCCTAAACACATTCTTGGCAGTCAAACAATCATAATCTCCACCCGCTGGAGATGATCGAAGCCAGCAGCTTCCCCCCAGTCGAACGACCCCACTCGCCTGAATGTACCACGATCAGCCGGTGCAAGGAGAAGACCATGAATTTTGGATCCCCACGTGAGGACTGGCAGACAGAAAACCAACGCTGGAGGCCAATCCCCTGAAACGTCATACTTACCCTCCATACCTGAAACCCCTTCAGATGCATACTGCAGGTCATGAGCGTGTTCAGGGTTGTCTTGTCTGAAATTGGCCAAGTGCAGTGTCTCTGCTGCTGCCAGTGATGGGTTGTCCTCGGCGAGCCACAGGACGGCCTCCCTCGATGGAATCAGCCAGGCCTGTCGCAAGACTGCTTTGATCTTCAACGATGCAGCCACAACCTCGCCGAAGGGTGAAGTCGCCGACTTGACCATTGTTTCACAATGAATCAAGCTGCATCTGTATAATTTGTCTGATGCGTCTTCCCTGAATATGTCGTAGGGAAACCATACGCGACCTTCGATAGAGGCCCATGACCACGAAGGCGCCCTGTATGTAATGGGTCGGGTACATGAAAGCTTGGAATGATAACTCCGAGGCAACGTCCTCCAGGTAAGTTGCGGCAACAGCGAGTACTCCCATAGACCAGCATAATATCGAGGACCTAACGTATCGGAAAATTCTTTCGTAATTCCTGCCAGCGCCGTCAACTTGTCGGTGACAAGAGACGCCCTACGAGCCGCATAAATGTGGACGATTCTTAACCACCTTGTGAACTGATCTTCGCGTTTTGCGGCTGGTCTACGCAGAAAGGAAATGGTTTCGCAGTACTTGCCATGTTCGAAAGACGAAGTATAATGAAGGGAGTTTCCTAGATTTTTCACACCAGCATCACAGCGCCACTGCAACGTATGTGAGGCATATATGAGACACCGATTTGGGATGATTTGCTCCTGTAGCGTCCAAGCCCGTTTGTTGATAGGCTCTGACCTTTCGTCATATTCAACAAATTCAAATTCTTGTATAGACATGCTCCCGAAGCGGTCCCCGGCCAGGCGGAACGGAATGGTGTATGATTTCCAAGGAGGTGGTCTGGGTTGCAAAAACCCATCTGTGGTATTTGCAGAACTGGCGGCAACGACTGTGAGAAAAGATTCTCGATATATGCGTTCCATCACCGAGATTTCTTGCATTTTGTCTTCCCTAGAGTCCTGAATGATACAAAGTGCGTCTATCCAAAGATACGGAATACGTAGTGTCTTTGCCACTGCGATAGCATCTTGAAAAGTTTGAGGTAATGCTTCCACGTCCAAACCCTGCGTGTATGTGCATATGTTTGACATACTCAACAGCCCATATGGTTCCACACCCCAGCAGTATGAAAGTGTGGCATATCTGCCCTTTTGCCCCTCCGTAATGAGCAGTCGAGGTGTATCAGGACACTTTTCTGGTGCAACTTCTACAACTCGCTTTGGAAGGGTACTACCAGGCTGCTGAACGCAACATTCGTGACTCCCACATTCCTCTAGCCAGCATTTGATCTGCTGATGAGCATGATCCGAGTTGATGTCTGTTTGGACTTTTCGCGCGGTAACAAAAGCAGCAGCCATGTCCATCTCATCGGTGAAAGCATGAATCGTGATGAGAAAAGAATCAAACCATTCCAATCTGTGTTGCTCGGCTTTTATGTTCAGGTAAAAGGTGTTGTTTCCCTTTGGTGTGCTAGCGCTGCGCCTAGGAGTTAGGGAGACCTCGAGCAGACCATCATTTTCTTTCGATTTTTGTGCTCTCTTAATGAAAGTCTGAATAAACCTGCACCAATTGCAGCCTTTCGCGACAGACTCGTTGATTTGCCGCATAGATGCTATCTGTCGGGCGCGAGAGTAAATATGGATCGACGGACCATAACCCAAACAAACCAGCTGGAAGTCTGTTGTGTCAAAGAAATCATGCCAGCATCGGTCGCAGACCAGAGACCTTGCGGCATGTTGGACTTGATGCTGGTTAGCTGACATATTGGACAAGTTAGAGTTGCAATCACCGCCCGCTTTGTCTATTCATTTTTGAATTGGGGCGCATTCATGAGATAAGATCATCTGGAATGGATTGGTATTCTAGCAGATGTGCACAATTTCGTCCAATTCTAGGTTCCCCAATGATGCGTATGATTGGACAAGCAATGCTAATAAGCACCCGATCTAGGCGGCAACAGTACTATGTTTCCGCTGATGGGAGTAACCAGCTTAAAGCCCCTATAGATTGTTCCTAGTAGGTAATAGTTATATCCAGATATCAGCTAAAATAAATGCGTCGTCATGTCGGGATGGATATACGATAGCTGTTCAGGTTTTCATGTCTGACTGTTTGCTTGAATCTGGGCTTAAATATTGAAGCACATTGAATCCAAAGGGGGTCGAGTTGCGGCACAAGCCTGAGCTATTGAGGCTCAAATTACTGCGTAGCGTTGTCAATTGCCAAGTCCTTTGAAATTGACAAGTCGCGTCGCCCCGGGCATGCTGGAATTCCTCAAGGGACATAAACCTTGATGCTTTGATGATAATCCGCAAACCTACAGCTCTATCGGAATCAACACTCAGCCATGCCTGAGTATGGCAAAAAGACCGTTGTAGAGCTCACAGAGATTTTGAAGCGCCGGTCCCTACCGCATACAGGGAAGAAGGCAGAACTTGTTGCGCGACTCAATGAAGCAGACAAGACCGAAGGAGCCAAAACGAGTAGGTACCGATCGCGCCCTCTGAAGCGTTTAGTGAAGCTTTGCCTCTACCAAAGTTCTCATCTCTCCATCTACCCCCGATTCTACTTGAAAGATTCTGGCTGATTTCTTACCTCCATTAGCTGATACAGCCCCCTCTGCTGCGACACCTGCTTCAGAATCCACCGCGGAGAAGACAGTGCCCTTAGCCGGGCCACACTCTACTGAGCAGCCTGTACAGGACGGCGATGCGCCTGCTAATACGACCAGTATGTTTCCGTTCCTGTGCTCGTACCTTTATGCGCACCTTCACACATTCGTCCTATCGCACGCCTTTTGACTACCGACTCGATTCTAATGTTTACCAGACACATCCTCCCTAGCACCTCCACCGGCTACGCAGGCAGAGCGCGAGGGCTCTGCAACCACAGACGCCAAGCTTGCGACTGCGGTGGACTATAGCATGGGCCTTAATCAGTCATCCTTCGATGATGAATTGAAGAAGCGCAAAGCTCGCGCCGAACGCTTCGGAGCACCGGTTAAGGAGGTTGATGCAGAGGCCGAGAAAGCGGCAGAACGTGCGAAGAGGTTTGGCACTGACAGTGCAGCAGATGGAGGCGTAGGAAAGCTGGATGAGGCTCTGCCAGAAGAAAGGGAGAGGAGGGGCAAGAGGGGAAGAGACGGTGAAAGTTCTCTAGATGATCCTGGTTTGAAGCAGGGGAGGGGAGGGAAAAGACGCTTTCAAGGAAGAGGTGGCCGGAACGACAGGCGAGGGGAGAAGCCAGTTGGCGTCCAAAAATCTGTGAGCAAGGCATCAAGCACTTTTTCAAGCGAAAAGGATCGCCTTGCTGCCGAAGCACGGAAAAAGAAATTCGCCACAGCTTGAGAAAGACGGTGACAGACGTTTTCAGTCACTCTCAAAAGAAACCGTCTGACTCTGTCATACACAATCAGCCACACAGTCAGCCAAAGCCAAAATATAACAATGACTTCTTGCGGGTTCCTTCCGACGAAGGACTGACTACCTTCGCCGCGAAGAATAGGTACCTCCTCCCAAGATATGACTGGCACTTTTACCTTGTCATCTTCCAGAAGACGGCGAACAGGTAATCCAGGATCTAGGAGGATCATTGCGGCTCTCACCCACAATGACAGCTGGCATACAGTGGCAGTAGAATAGTAGCTTCGTTGAGCTCCTTTTAGCCCCCAATTACCAGGTCCAATCTTGGCATCTGAATGTTGAAGCTTGTTTCAATCCACAACTATCAAGAATTGCAAACTCAGCTATGGGGTACTGAATTGCGTCTTGTCATTCTGCGACCTTTTGATCGGGACATCCGACCGACCTCGTTGATCGACGGCTTTTAGTGAATTTCCGCAATCTTGTCTAACTCCACAGACCCGAGGCATACCCTTATCATGTCCGGAGCAGCTTTGTTCACAAATGTTTTTCGCTTGATTTCTGCAGATTTATCTGCTAGGCCCACGAGTGCTGTCAAGAAGAGGAATAGACTCCAGCTCTCGTGCACGCCTTGCAAGATACGCAAGCTCAAATGCGAGCGGGGTCCGCCGCCTTGCAGCATATGTGTAAGGCGAGGAGTGGTAGCATCATGCACCTTTCCCACGCCTGAATCACCCATAGCTGCTAGAAAAGCACGCAAAGATCTTGCCAATCGGAGAGCTGGTCAGCTGCGTCATCTAGAGGATCTCGTTATTCAAATAAGCAGCCCCACGATTCCTCTTGGATTGGTATGTGCATGCTTACTGTTTCGGGACTCCCTGACTAAGATATAACCTTGAGGTCGAAGGTCAGATCTCCCTCGCATCCGAGCAAAAGGAAACAGCGCAAAATCCCCAAGATGCAGCCATGAATGGTTTGACTGGCGTAGCAAGCTACGTTGGTCCACTTCATTGGTCGGCGGTTTTGGAAAACGTTCGTAGCGCACTTAGCTGCTAAAGCGTGCACTGATGCAGTGGAAGTAGATTCAGGAGCTCAAGTCGGCCATGGCCTCTGAGGTATGTGGCCTGATAGCAGTGAGGAAGATGATGAAGGAAATGTGGATCTGGTATGGGGACTACATCATCCTTCCACCTTGCAGCAGCTACTGGAGATTCTACCTTCACGGCCGGTTGTAGACCGGATTCTTCCAACTTACTTCAATGTGAAGTGGCTCATACTTCGTGAGACTCGATCTCGCGAAAAGGGGTAAGGGTTGCTGACTTTTTCAGCGATCATTCACACTGGCTGCTTTCAAAGAGAGGTGATTCTGCCTCGTGAAGATATGTCTCACGAAATCACTGATCATCATAGTACGACAAATTCTGGAGGAAGCCCAAGCAGGTGTCGCCTATTTGGCTAGGTCAGCTCTTTGCCATCCTTAGCATTTCGGTAAGATTTCACGAAGAGCCCGTTGATGAGATACCCGCCTCGACTGCTGTACGTTCTAAAAAGGACCTGTTTCTGCAATCCTCTGCGAAGTCCCTCGTGCTTGGCAGGACACAAAGCCGCAAAGGCACGTTGTAGAAGCACTACTGCTCTATTTACAGTGCCACTATATGTCCAACCTTGATTCAGTGCAAGAAGTCCGGAATTCACTGGGCATCGTTGTACGACTTGCTATGCGTATGGGCTATCATAGAGATGCAAAGCAGATACCAGGAATAACTGCTTTCGAGGGTGAGATGCGCCGTCGCGCATGGGCTGTCATTCAACAGGTGGATCTCCTTTTATCCTTTCAGATGGGCCTGCCAAGCCTCGTCCAGGCCGATACCTCTGATGCTGAGCTTCCACGGAATCTCCTGGACAATGAATTCGACGAGCTAACACCACATTTACCTGCCTCCAGATCGGACACCGGAAGTATCGAACGCCGAAGTAATGGCAGTGGACGCTCAACTTCGTCGTGTTTATGAATAGACACCACCATCGATAAGAAGACGACCGGTCTCGAAATCTTTCACCGATCCAACACAGTTGATCGTGGCGAGAATCAACTGCGAGCTACTATTTCAGAAAGGTCTCTGCGTACTACACCGGAGGTACCTTAACGATGATCCAGCACATTCCTGGTCTAGGGAAACATGCACAAGCGCGGCTTTGACGATCCTCAAGATCCAAGCAGAGCTGCAAGAATTATCCCTTGAAGGCAGTCAACTTTCTCGTGATCGATGGCTATTATCGTCAATCACATTACATGATTTTCTCCTGGCAGCCACTATAATCTGCATGGATCTATCTCAAATGCCCGGAGCCGTCCTAGAAGCACCATCACCTACCGAGGTCGTTTTCGAGGACAAGCTTGGGGCTCTCCAGCGTGCACACGCTATCTTCATAGAGCAATCGGCTTACTCCAAGCAAGCTCGTCGTTGTGCAAATGCAATAGGATATATACTACCCAGGATTGAAACGAAGCTCGCAGAACATGTGACTTTAGTGGAGCTAGCGAACAGTGCAAATCATGGCGGTGGCCTCAGAGAGGATCCCACCACAGCCTCTGAGAGCCCTCAGGTCGTTGCCCAACGAACCCGAAGTCGTTGACTGGGTAAGTTAGGATTCGAATGAGTCCCGCATGCCAATTAGCACTGCTGATCTGTCTGGCTTAGTCACTACTGGACCAATACCTAAACATTCCCTGCTCCACAAACGATCCCGATACTGCATGGACCGACCTTCTGGATCAAGAAAATGTCGAGCTTGAACGAGATCTTTTCTGTAGCTGACCAGGCGCAGGTCGAGTGTCTTTGGACGCTTTCTAACCTTTATTTCGTATTACCACGGTCCATTCTATTTGCGCACTATATGAGACTCCTGGTTGCAATTGTCAATACATGTCGCTGCAGCCTATGCTGTGGTAACCTGACATTACGTGATCTTGGTGACATCAGGTCGAATGTTTTCCAGCTTCGTCATAAGTTCCTTCCACAATATTGCCCCCGTTTCCTTGCCTTTTGTGCTCCTCACGAAAGGACTGGCGCTCTTGACCTGGCATTCGCTCAAATACTTTCCATGGCTTTCTATTCCCACTTTCGTCGCAGCATGTACCAGCGTCCTTGCACCCTCTTCGCTTGACCTGCCTATCATTTTCAGCGCCAAATTTGGGGCGGCTGGCAACTTCTCGTTCTTAAAGAGCTCTGTTCGACACCGACCTGGAGCCAACATTGTTAACAACAACGAAAGATGTCTTCGTGGCTTCGTCGCCGCAAGATGACGTGATGATTTGTTCTGCGAGCTCTTGGACATACAACATCACAAGCAACTTGCTCATGAAGTAACGATTCTTCATGTTTGCTGTCTCCAGGGTGTCCATTTGAATCAAATTGAGTCAAATAAACCAAATCAAATGCTTGGCAACTAAATCAAATCCGTGCTTTCATCAAATCAAATCAGGACTTTTAGATTTGACAAGTTACTATCAAATAGAAGTCTTGGCGGAAAAGTAAGTTATTTTGAAATACTATTCAGGGTTATTTCAAAAGGTAGCGGATACAGGCCCTTGTCGGTGGCATTTACAGTACTAAATCAAAAGTATTCGACCGACATCAAAATTTGTGTGGGACCACAGGCGTATCCACAACGGCACGCGGAACTCTTGCCGTCAAGCTACTATGCCGCCGATAGAGGCATCCGTACGGCACGTGGCTCCCCGTACGAGTACCATGGAACAGGAGATTGATACGACCCCTTTAGGGAAGTACAATCTCCTCCAGAGGGAAGCTACCGCTTCTGGCCCTGCAGATACTCCGTCGGATCCTCCGCGCAGGTTAACTAGTAGCACCCCTTGTGTTCGATGGAGGAGTATATAGGGTAGAGCGCTGGCCGCACTGTAGATAGACTCCTCAGCTTACGTTTTAGCAATCTATGGACTATTGACTTGTTCTAGTTTCGAGCCATTGCAGCAACTATATTTGAAAATCTGTAGAATAATAGAAAATTGATAAAATTTTATTGTTCTAACAGAAGATCTCTGCTTAAAATAATTAGATAACCGTGAGCTGAAGTTCAAACGCAAAATTCTTGAAAAAATCAAAAATTTTATGAAATTTTGTATGAGACCTCATACAAAATTTTAAATCTTTTTAAATGATTTCTCTTTGAACTTTACCTTACAGATATCTAATTATTTTAAGCAGAAATTTTCTATTAATAAAAAAATATCTTATCAATTTTCTATTACTTTAAAAATTTTCATATATAGTTGCCGCCTAGCAAAATTTGCTACATGTTTTTTAAAAAGTTGTCTTTTTGGTGGGGGTTTGGTGGATTTTGGTGTGAAAATTTTGTCATGGTCGGATACTTTTGGGCGTGACTGTAGTAGGTGTTGCCTATCTCCAAGAGGGTATAACGAGTGTGCAGCAAAATCTAAAACGGGCCGCATGCGTGCGCGCACACAGGCCTGCTAAAAAGTTGCATTGTCGCGCAATCTAGCCTAACTAGCTTGGAGAGGAGGGTTAGTAATCCTATCTCAAAATCACACAAAGCGAAAATACTTACTATACAGTACCACAGCACTAAGCCAAATCGACTACAAGGGTATATTTAGGCCCGTTTTACGTCTAATACAGCTAGTCATACGCAAATTGACTTTGCGTATGCATTACTAGCTGCAAAACAGCTCTGCTAATCCTCGACCTCGTTAGGCCAAGGATCATGCTTGCTCAAAGACGAGTTGAGGATACTAAGACGAAAGCCCGTAAACCCCTTGGCGGGCTGGAGAACTGAGGGCTGTCATTTCTAGACCCGCCTACTCCGTATTGATGCCTAGAACTCGCCTATCTCCAGGTTGGCGATGTCGATCTGCCAGGAAGAGCCTTCTCCCTTTGTGTATCATTTTGTGGCACTGGAAAGCACTTGGATTCGAGCTGCCCATGTCTCACCGCAGTTTTGCTGCCATCTGGACTCAACCTGAGGGGCGACCAGACATCGCCAATATCGTCCGGGAGCAGATTGGAGAACACATCTTGGATTCGTCCGATGCGCCCAATCTGGATAGACCTCTAACCTCCTCACTACCTCTCATCGCACTTTTCAAAGTTATTTTCGACCTCCAAAGGACATATTATCAATGTTCGACTGCCCAGGTCGAGTCTGCACATCTTCTACCGACTCGGCTACTCCGTCTCGCTATCATTTACCTTCTCAGAATCAAGTGCAAAGCCCTTCGAAGCGGTTCAACACTCTATGCGGCCCAACGAAGCTTCCTGGCTCGAGTGCTAATATCAGGACTTCGGGCATTATGGTTGGCACTCGGGTTCCACAGGTGTGACCTCCCCGACGAATCGGTAAAGGAGCTTAGCATTGCATTCGACCAGGCGTGGAAAGGAGAAGAGCTCGTTGAGCTCGTTGAGCTCGACAGATTTCTCATCAGAATTCAACACATCATTATATCAGCAGAACTTTCGAGACCCACGTCTGACCTCTCGATTCCTGCCCGCGGGAAGGTCCGTCTACCAAATCATAGCACGGGATTGGTGAGTATCTTGAAGTCTTTTAAATCGAGCAATAGGATTGATCATTGCAGTATCCATTGGAAAGTCGCCCCGATGAGTTGTTGGCCCCTGTCAGAGATGCCACTGCATCATTTGACTTCCTCTCAGATTGGTCTTTGAGCTATTGGACTCTCTTTGATATAACTTGGACGACCGAGGCGGCACTGATCCAGTTGGTTGTGCACTCGTCAAACGTTAGCGGCAAGGGCAAGTCAGCTGCTCCGACGCCAGACGATATCAAGCAAGTCTGTACTACTCGAGAGAAAGTGTTACACACCATTTTCCAGTCGGGGAATATTCCAACTGTAGCCAAAAGCTCCATTGCTGCCATTCTTCTTGCCCCTTGGTGCAAAAATACGTGCAGTTGCTTGGAAAGAGCAGGCTCTCCGCTGGACTATTCGGTAAGGTCCCAATGTTCTGTTGCACATTCTCTCTGCATAGGTTGACGTAGATTGTTCCTGCAGGGTTCCGAGAGCGCCAAATTACCTTCTCTGGGTGTGTCTTCTCCTGAACCACCACACCTCGAACTGGATCAATGCCTTAACGAATTGGCAAGGACTTTGGAATCGCGCAAAGAAGGCCTCCGTGACTGCAACGGTGACATGAAGAGTCTCTCGGATAATTTTGATGACTGCATGAATGCCTGGTATTCAGAAACTTCCTCAATCCGCCTTGCGAGTAGCAGTTCCCGCCGTGCTCGAAGATCTGCATACATTTTTCAATGCCCCAAACTACATCCAATCCCCTACGATATTCTCAGAGGGCTTATTATTGAAGATGATAAGAGAACTGGCATTACGGTGTGTGTCCCCTTCGGTCTGATGACTGCAATCTTTTTCATTGTCTCTTTTGGAGGAAATTTTTCCTTATTCAGTACTCACGGGCTTCAACTTTAGGATCTCGAGAATAATTCACCCTTCTTCAAAGTTGATATTACTTGCAGCCAGTGCGAGATCCCATACCCTGTTGTATGGGTTCGTCGCATCGAGCCGTTAGGCCACCTTTCTGCGATGATGACGGACAAGCTCAGAAAACAACCAACTCGGCAGGAATCGTTCCAGCCAGGAATAAACAACGGAGATCCATTGCGGGCAAACTCCTCCGGTAATTCCAGCAGTCGGACAGACACGAATAGCACCAGCCTTAGCAAGAAGGAACCATCACGACACGGAAAACTCAGCGAAGTTTTTGGAGAAACCGATAAGAAACCGTTTTACTCCTTCTCCGCAGATGGACAATGTGTAATTCTGTGGATGAAAAAGGGCTCCTATGTTGTTCTCTACGACATCGATTCCAACAAATTCGAAGAAAGGCCGGCCAAAGACGTTAGCTTGGCCGCTCAAGGGGCCAAAGTATATGCATATGCATATTTTTCTGAAAATGTATTTTATACCTAGTACGTTGCGAACTATGAGACTAATGAAGAGACAAGAACACCATCTCCATACCCGTTGGAGGCGTGATGGGCAAGAGCTATTTTCGAGAACGATCAGCGAACCCGTTTGCGGCATCGCCGTGTCCCGCAACGACAAGTTTGTCGCTGTGGTAGGGACCAGCTCAGTCTACGTCTACGAGCTCGGGAACGGGGCCCTTCACCATCACTCCCTGCCCCCGTTGATTCCTCCTAATCGTCTGGACAGCCAACGAATCGATTTTTCGGCTGATTGCGAGGAGGTCGTCGTGGCGACTCGGGGATCCGAGCGTGGCGTCGTCCAAGTGTATGACAACAAGTGCACGAGTCCCAACACTAGCCACTCTGTGTTCAGCATCGAAGTACCCCGTGTAAGTGTCCCCTTCCAAACGCGTCCCATTGTCTTCAAAAATACCTGCCCACTAGCAGTCTTTCTCCCATCCAAAACCTGACGTGATTTCAACCAGGAGTCTGGCAATGACTTTGGACTTTCGTCAGTACTCTGCGTCAACCCTAGCTCCATATGCATAACAGCGTTCACGAGGAAGACGCCACCGGTCCTGTTTTCGAGGCTCTCTCCGCGTGATCGGCCTGCGACAGTCGGTACCAGCTACGATCCCCACTTGGGAACTCAAATCCAATGTGCCGCGCACAGCCCCTCGGGACACAAACTGGTGCTGGTGAACAACGAGAACGAAGTCTTCTCCGGACAGCAGCGCCAGGATGCCAGATGGCATTTCGAGAAGATTTGGCATCTTAGTTCCCTCAAGAAACCGGTCAGGCGGGAGGACTGGATGGCGGTTGGAATGCCAGACGAGCACACCATCCATTTGTTCTGGGTTAAGAGAGGCAATGAATGGGGACTCAAGACCATATGAATAAATGTACGTTGCAGTGGCAACGCAAACAGTGTGTTGACTCTATTAAGTTGGTATTCTACATGCCGAGTTTTCGCGTCTCTTGCTGGCGTCGACGCCCGCATCCGTCTCATCACAGCAGCCACACCCAGATCCATTGCAAGAAGCCTCTGGCATTCTCTCGGCTCCAGTAGACATTCCTGTCTCTGCGTCTTAACCTACCGCGCCGGAGTCTTGGATCTTGTTCCGTCACCGAGACCGGATTGCGCAGGTCTTGATTGGCCCGGATGATCCACTGTCGCGGATCCCAACTGTCGAGCTTAATACGGTATGCGAGGATGAGGACGAGGAACACGGGGATCTGGACGGACGATCAGTCAGCATGCTGGGATGGGTACACAGCACCAGCCATGCTGTCATCTCACGGAGAATAAACATTAAAGAGGGGGAGGGGGTCCGCTGACGTTGAAGTAGGAAGCAAGGAAGCTGCTAATGCTCATGGGCGAAACAACGGAGCGCCATCCGTTGAAAAGGGCGAACAAGAACGTGCCGCAGAGCCCATACCACGCCCGGAGATATTGGAGGTGCGATTTGTAAGGATACATGCTGTCGTTTTCGCGGTTGTACGCCTCGACATTCTGATCCACTTCTGGATCAACACCTCTGGCGGCACGATTGATACTGGATTCATCAGCTCATCGTGGCACAACCAACACCAACAATTTTTGACGTCGCAAAGAAGCTGCGAAAGTGGAAGGGGGATGCACATACCATTTATAGAAGCGAAGATAGGATGCGCAGATCAAGCAATAGACGATCAGGTTGGAAACCACTGAGTTGATAGCGATGCGGCCTAAGATCTGTCGAGTTATAGAGTCAGGTAAAACGCTCCCGACCCTGAGACAAATTTGATGAAGGGGATACTGACCTCCGCAGAAGTAGGCTTCACCGCCAAAAAGCCGAGCAAGCCAAACAGCCAGCTGGCAAAGACAGCCGCCTTCGGAACGCCATAACTAGTCCGCTGCAGCTTGGATCTTAGCGTCATGGTTAGGCTCCAGCGTGGCCACGCCTCGGGAATGCACGCGAGCGCATGCAAGAGCCGCGAGGCCAGGTACAGCGCGTTGATGCCCGCAGAGGTGGCGGAGAAGACGTAGAAGGCGTTCAGGAATGCGGCCAGCCTGTGAGGTGGGCACGGACAAGGGCGATGATGAAGACTGAGTGCTGGCCGGGTGGCAGCGAGTTAAGCGCATACGATTTCAGGTTCGGGTCGGTGTAGGGAACGTTGAGACCGGCGGTGAAGGTGGCCAGGGTATAGAGCAAGATGATGCGCAGCGAGATCTTTCGCGTCGCCAGTTTGATGCTCTCGTCCCGTTCAGCATCCGGCTTTCGGCCGCCGTGATCGACACAGCGTCGAAACCCGCCATGCCAAACATGGTGGTCGTCATGGCGGTCCACATGCTAGCCAAATGGCCTGGCCCGCCGGTGATGGTGTTGCCATGCAGGGTGAAGTTCTGGGATTGGAAGGAGTAGGGTTCCTCGTAGTACTTGAAGTGGCTGGGTTCGTTGGTGCCGAAACTGGCAGTGTTGATGACCACATTGAGGATAATCAGCATGCAGATGAACAGCATCTTGCACACCCCAATGACGTACTCGATCTCGCCGTAGGCCCGGACTGGGAGTAGGTTGGCGACGCCCATGATGATGAGTAGGATGGTGGCCCAGACTGCTGGGTTGGTTTTAAGGCCGACTCCCCACTGCAAGGTTTGCTCGGGGTATCCGACCTGCGCCAGGTATGAGGGGTCGAATTGAAATTTGAAGAGTTGTGAGACGGCTGTGACTTCGGCAGCGACGACCACGACATAGAAATACCTGTTCGGGACAAGCAGTCAGCCCACGCCCGTTCCATTGACCTCCTCGCCAGCCAGCCAGCCAGCCAGCCAGCCAGTCACTGTGAGTCGTAGATAGGGTTCCTCACCATGCCATCCATCCCACCGCATACCCCACAGCCTCATCGAGGAAGCGGCCGGGGAATTCGAAGACGGCGCCCTTGACAGGGAACAGTGCGGTCATTTCTCCCAGACAGGCCATCGCCGACCACATCACGGTGCCGGTCAGCAGGTAGGCGAAAAGGGCGAGACTGGGGCCAGCGTAGTAGATGACCCTGCCAGCTTGCAAAAACAAACCGATGCCGAGGACGGACGAAAATGCGATCATGTTGACATGACGTTCGTCGAGGTCTTGTCTGTCCATGCACTGTCAGTACTTGGTCATTGCAACACTACCTTCTGTGTTATGCAAAGGGACTTACCGCAACCCGTTGGGGTCATCCTCGACCTCCCCCGGGAGCTCATGGCCGTTGGCTGGAGGGGGCATGGTGCTGTCCTGCATTATTGGCGCTGTGTTGGGCGACACCGACAGCCCTCCTATGTCTTGTTGGAAGACGGTGACTGTCTTTAAGGAGGTACGAGTAACAGCATCAGGTTGGAGATCAACGACAACATTTCCCTAGGCAATAATGATGACCGAAACTTGCAAGGCGACGGCCCCAAGAGAGCTTTTCCCTGACCCTGGCTCCAGCGGGTCCCTCTCCCTGCTCTCAGATCGATTCATGAATGTACATGATTGGGTGGGATGCATTGGCGCGGATGCAGCCACTCTCACAAAGCAGCATGCGGTCGAGTCGTTCTGCAACAAGATCCGCGCCAGCCAACATTAGCAGAGAGAGTAAAAAGTAATTTCATCGTCCTGGTACGTACTGCGTAGCATGTCGTAAAATGTGGGGCTCGAGTAAGCCCGGCGAGATACAGCACAAGTGTTGTGACGAGGTCTGGGATCAGACCTCGATCTTGGTCCAGTTTAGCTGGGCTGGAGGTACGGTACGGAGTACCGGGGACAGCAAAGGGGCAAGTGACCTCGAGGACTCAGCAAGCCGGCAGCCATATTTGAGCCGCATGTTCCTGCCCCATTGGAAGATCGTGACTCGGGGATCCACTCTGTACTGGCCAGAACAACGTACGACGTAGTAGTAGTAGTAGTACGAACTCTTCCAAGACAAGCTAAATTATTAGGCGACCCCCTACCAATTTAGCCACAATGGAGTCCACCAAGTACCGCCTTGTACTACTATTTGGCGGTGTCTCGCTCACAAGCTAAATGAAAGTGTTTGCCTTAATCTTTCGGATCCTGGTTGGGCTAGAAAAGTCTCAAGCCAACACCGATTGTTCAGCGATCGACATTGTTCTTGCGCCTTGCTGTGAGACAGAAAGGTCGAGAATGAGCGGTTGGACTTTGGTGGTGCCTTTTTGCTCAATTCGTATCGTTGTCTCCGTGACCTCTCCAAGTTTGAGCTTCCGAGTCCGGAAGGTTGAGGAAAGTGACATGATTACTAGAAGGCGGCGACCTCATCAACTTGGCCCGTTGGCATGTTGGGAAGGCTGTGAGCTGCAACAAGGCCGCCACTCCAGAATTCGGTACTACAGTAGGAGGCATTTTACGGAGTACAGTAGAAGGCATACGTAGTAAGAACTGTTAGCGTGAGCTAGTGATAGCTGGTTTTCGATACAAAGGTCCGGCGTTCTCCGGAGCTATCGAAATTGAAGCTAATCAACACTTATGCGTCCTACCGTAGTAAGTGGTGGTATGTGGGTCTTGTCAGAGCTATTTTCAGTACTCCGTACAATGCCACGAAACACCAGCACCGTACTCTGTACTGTTACTAGTATGGTACTATCTGAGCAGGGCTTCGCACTAATCCTCTCTAGGCAGTTAGAACTGGTTTGACGGCCCTCAGCGTCGATGACTGCGCGCGGCACCTCTCAGGCATCAGATCCAGCTGTTTTCGAAGGAAATGAGCACGAACAACCTCCCAAGCCTCCGCCACCGCCGCGCGGAGCGCAAGAGAGCTGCGCAGCTGCTCGTCATAGTGATCCTGAATCCAATCCTTCATCTAGTTCCAGGCCATTTCAATAGGATTCAAATCGGGTGAATAGGCGGGCCACTGAATGCAGACGACGTTTCGTTCACGGAGATCCCGCATTGTGCCTCTCGCAGTAGGGCATGACGCACCATCTTGCATAAAGACAAACGGCCCCCAGTTTCCCGCTCATACAGACAAAGATATCCATCAATAAGAGATACAATTCGAGCTTGATAGCTTTCCTCTTCGATCGTACCCCATTCCTTCTCCCAGAACAGACCAGGTCCTTTCGTTTCTCCGTGAAAACACCCCCCAACACACCTATCCTTTACGGCGTTGAACCTTCTCGACAATACAATCTTCATCAAACACGTATTTTCAGTATTTTACCATGGCTTTTGGAATACACCCTGTTACGACGTCTTGTTCCTCTGATCTCCACCAAATGAACTCGAGGGTGCAGAGTGAGCCACAAGAGTTTGTATGAAAAAATGTTGCTCGAGATAATCGATTAAGACTTCGCTGCTTCGACCACGTCGTTAGTTGTACATCGCTTGTCGGCGAAGGTCGTTGAAGCTGACCGGAAACCCACTGATTGGGAACGGCTTGGGCAAGTAGTATGACCCCTCCTGCATTGGAGGTTTCCAGGCGACGGCAATGACCTGCAGCATGTCGGCTGGATTGGAGGTCGAAATGGTGCATTCCAAATTGAACCAAGCTCCCCGCCCGATTCCACTCCTGAATTGGCTCGTGAGGCTAATTTCGGTCCAGCCAACGACGTCCGGGTTCTGGGTAGTCTCGGGAACCTCCCGCTGGCAGACACCGCTCAACAAGTTGACAAGCTTTTTCAACTCCTGGCTGTTATTGGCTAGGCGACAGCGGATTGCGCCCTTCAGCTCGTGGCGCCCGCGGCGGGTAGGGTCACCGTAATTCAGCTTTGCCAGGCTAGAAGGATCGGGCTCGAAGAAGAAGAGGCTCGCAGTCAGAGTATCCACGACCCTAGTGATGCTCTTCGATAACTCTGATGCACCGTGGTCGACTTCTTTGCATTGCTCTGTGACCATGTCTGCCATGTCTTTCATCTTCCCATACTCGGTCAGGTCCACATAGTCACCTGTAATATGCGCGTTGAGTCGATGAATTTTATGTCGATGTGCACCACTCAAGTGGGGAGAGTGAACAAGTTTTCCCAAGTCCGCTCGGTATTAAGATTGTTGAAGAAACTCGTACACATTTGTTTAAAGCCACCAATCTCCATGATCTTGGGAAGATTGACCTCTTTCTTCTGTATTCCAGTTCCAATTGACACAAGTGCATCGAGTGAAGTGCGAACATCCGAATTCGGCCATAGATGTGCCATTTCTTCGAGGGCGTAGGTGATTGGAAGGTTGTCGTTCAAAGCACCATCGACGTAGTTCTTCATGGTTTGTACTTTTTCAAACGGCCGGAAATGAAAGGGAGCTGCGGCGGTAGCCAGACCAGCCTCCCAAACTCTCATCTCTTTTTCGTCGTCATCTTCCCGTTCGAAGTCGTCACCATTACTTAAATCTGGTCTGTTGTAATTTGCGATCAGACAGCGATTTTCACCGTTGTCCTTGGTCGAGGTCACAGCGACTCTGGTCGCTCGTTGATGTTGTTGGACCTTTGCAGACGAGAACAAATTGACATTCTCTCCAAATAGATCTATCAGCCCTTGTTTCAAGGGACCAGTCCGATATATACTCTCGTAGATCCGGAGCAGCATGAATGCCTTTGACGTGATCTGGAAGGGATCAATCAATGTGACCAACCCTTCTCTGCGAAGCCTGAACGTTTCTTTAGTGATTTTGGCGAATACTTCTTTCATTTGCGCTGCGCTCAGCCCAGTCATGACGAGGCCAAGGGAGATAATTCCACCTGGCAGTCATCTGTTAGCTTGGATTCTCCGACAAAATCGCCCCTGCTGGATCGCGTAATAGAGTTGGTTGGCGCTGCAACCTTGCTGCTGGAGCTCCAAACGCAACGAAAATGTGAAGAATTGCCCAAAATTAAGATTCCGGAGACTCACCTGTGCTAGTTCCCACGATCAGATCGAAAAATTCCCGGATGGGTACCTCCAGACCAATCCTAGCCTCTAGCTTCTCTAGAATAGCGAGTTCCATGATACCACGGACTCCTCCACCGTCCAAGGTGAGAATTCTGACACCGGCACATCTTGGTTTGAGTCGTATTAGCTGGCTGTGTTCATCCCGCCATGCAGTCCGGCAAAGGATGCAATGGTCCATTACCACTCCATACTCATAGTATTTCGATGGCTGCCCAAACTCTTTCACGCATGTTGGGCAGTAGCTATGACCACATGAAAGGACGTGATCTGGCACAGACTGTAGGCATGTGAAGCACGTCTTGTTGCTGTAGGTCAACTTCCAGAGAGGCTCAAAGGTCTCGAATGCCTCCTCGCGTCGTTGCTGTATTGTTGCAGAATCAGGATGGCTTTGCGTTTTCTGGCCATCGGTGCAAAGTTCCAGGTATATTTGGATGAACTGTTCCTGGATCTCATTGACGGTTCTGGTCGAATCTTTTTAGTATTCGGAAGGATCGAAGTTGCCAGAGACCCTGTTGCCTTTCTCGTCACAATGTTCGTTATGGCCAAAACTCCGAGTAATGCAGCGCAGACCTCCTTCAAATCTGAAGCCGCAATTCCGATACCTATCGCAGTATATTTGGATACCCTTTTCGCACTCTGATCTCAAATCTCTCTCGAAGATTTCCTCGGGCTCCCATGCTGTTGTCACATTAACAGGGCAAACAGATACACGCAACCACTTTGGGAAGCCTACCTTGCTGGAAAGTCCTTATAGCACAGCTCACCAAACATATCGAAACAATTTGGGGGAACATCAGGGGAAACAACTTGGGAAACTTCTGAGTTACCCGGAAATTTAGCATCTGCGTGTGTCGCAAAAAATTCGCAATATGATCTGACACGGAAACCGGATTAGGGTTGTCTTTCCTGGCAGCTGTGAAGAAGTCGAATGGTGTATCAAGAACCCGGAAATGTTCAAAGGCACGGCGGAGGAGGTGAGAAAGAGTGGGAATATTATATTGAGTCCATGATTTCGCCCTAATTGCTTGTGCCGCCTTCGATGCCCGAACAATCTCATTTCTAAGTCGTCGGTATTGCAGGAAGATTTGGTCCACAGGCGCTTTATCTTTGTCGGGAATGTAGTAAGCATGAACTTCGTGGAAGAAGACTTTGAAGAAGTCGGGGTTTGTGTGGATGGTCCGTTGCTTGACGGGGTGTTTGTTGTTGTACCTCTTCATGAAGTCAGCCAGGGCTGTGGATCCATGCCATAGAGGTTTGAGGCTGTCAAAGATTGATTCCTTCAGAAATTGATTCTCGTAGAACTGGGGTACATGTTTGGTGGGCATCTGCCGCACGATGATCAGGGTTTTCTGTGCCAGATGGTTGATGGACTTGTCCACCGCCGCTGCAGCCCATTCCAGGACTCTTTGCATTTCCTTCTGGAAGATCTGATCCTTTTTAGTTACGAAGACCACCACATCGCTGAAGGCGTAGAGAAACCTAGCGTAGAATAGCTCAACGCCATCCTTACCATGGCTTCCATATTCTGGGGAGATGATTGGTTCATCGAGAATCAGGTTTGGGTTCAGTTCTTCCAGGTTTGAGTTAGCGCCCACTGGCCGGTCTCGTTCAGAATTCGTGGTGCTGATTGAGCCCTGAAAGCCTTCACAGTCGGCGAAAAGGATGGGAGTGACGGTGCCCATTCGGTGATGTGAGGGTAGGCCTCGATTTTGATCCGGAGCTGTAGGGTCTTTGTAAAGATGCACTCCCAAACTTGTTGGATCCATCAGATGGTTGATGTTCGCTGTTCGAGTCACCGGGCCAGGCATCCTTGTCGATAGGAGATACTCCAAGTTGCCGATTTGATTGTTCTCTGGACTTTCATCTTGTGGAGAATTCAAGCCGGGCTCGGTCAATTGTCCCATCAGCATCATGGCTCGCACCAATGTAGATTTCCCCGTTCCTGTATTGCCAATGAATGATACAAAGCTTGGATATGTACTGGAAGTCCATCGGTTCCCCGAGATGCCTGGATCGCAAAGCTGTCGAAATCTATCCGACACGGCCAGCCTAGCTTGGTCTCCTTCGAACGCACCCAGCCTTACTACAAACCACTGGCAGCCCGGTCTGAATAATGGAGTTCCCTCTGTCTAGCCGGGCCAGGCTCTGAGTAAGTGACCGCATTCACGTAGATTTGTGGCACTGGGTCGACCTCTTGATGGCAATCACGCAGAATACCTGCTCGGTGGGCCTCCCAGCAAGTTGGATGCTCTTGGCAGTTCCACTTTCGACAGCTTCTCTGGTGGCATCGTCTAATGCAGTAGTAAAGGGCATCTTCACCCTTGGTCCCACAAAAGGAGCAAGTTCGAAGGTCTTGAAAATCGACAATATCTTTGCAGACGAAGCATGGTCGTGGACTGCTTTGGTTCATTTTTATGTTTGGGAAAGAGGAAAAGGAGTGGGATCTTTTAACCACGTACAGAACCACTGCACTTGGCGAGACAATCTCGCGCACCAAGGCGCCCCGGGCACCCTCCCCTCAGACGCAGCAACTGTCGACAATAGATTCTTCAAGAAGTTGCCTTGCGCTAGCCAAGGCCCGCCAGGGACCAAAGGACTCACCGAAGGACCGCCAAGAGCCACCTCAGTGTTGCTCTTATTTACTTAGTAAGCAGCGTTCGGAAACAGTACAACCGTACCAACTGTATTAATGGTACGCCAAAATTTCATTAAAGCGGCTAGGCGCTTCGATTAGGATACGGTGGAAAGGATGCTGAAATCAGCGCTCTAGAGTACTGCTTTCTGCCACCTTTTCACAGATACAGAGACATTAATGGTTGTTTTGTGAGGTGACTACGAAAATGTCGAACGTTGCTGACTAATCAGGAGAATAGAATCTGAATAGCAAGTTGTTCTATCTAATTGACCGCGCAAGGAGAGCCTATTTATACATACCAAATTGCTATATCAAACTACCAGTCCATGCGAAATAGCGCGAAACGTCAATACTAAAAATACATGTCAATTCGAGGCGAAATGCGTAACAAATCTGTGATAAAACGCATTCAAAACGTCGCACAATACGCCACCGTTTGAGCCACCGTTTGATAACCAGCAAAATTCATCGAAGACGCGCAGAATCCAGTAGCGTTTGTTGCAGCGCTAGATATCACGTGACATCCGGTCTACAGAAAAGCAGTCCTCTTAACAAAATATTTGCTTACTAACAATTGACTCCATTTGACAAATGAGTCAAATCAAATCAAATCGACCTCTGGGATTAGGTTAGCAAATCAAATGGGGGTCAAGATTTGGTTTATTTGATTTGATGGATACCCTGGCTGTCTCCTTCCTGTTCAGCCTCTCCAGAATACTCTGCCCTTCTGGAACATCAAGATCCTTCGTATCAGCCCAGAAATGAACAGCAGATCCCACGATGCTCAGCCGACCCATCTTGCCATGACGAGCTGCCGACTCACGAAGCTTTGGTAGAGTCAAAAAAGTAAGAAGAAAAATCGATATAACATTGACTGTAATGGTCGACTCGTTGTCTTCTGCAACTTGGTATGTGGGTTGACTGATCCCTGCAATTTCTATGACAGCATCCAGCCTGGTCAATGACCTTTCACAGCGATCTGCGAATTCTAGCACCGAGGCATATCGGCTCATGTCGAGTGGCCATACCTCGATCTTCGTCGTAGCTTTCTCGGTCGTACGTTTGGAAGAGAGTAGGAGCTCTCTCGCAGCTTCGCCTTTATCGATACTACGACAGGCGAGTATGAGAGTCGATATGTTGACGCGCACCATGTGTTTCGCACATTCCAAACCCAGCCCTGTATTGGCTCCTGTGACGATGATAGTTTGCCCAGTCAGATCGGTGGTTGGGAGTGGTGGAGTTTGCAAGAGCTGGCCGCGTAGGAATTGGGTGATGCCTGGTGAGAAGGCCATGGGGATGACTGTGCTTTCTCCAAGGACTTTTGAGATAGGTATGTTGGAGTTTTGCTGAAGACTGACGCAGAGTATGCTTTTTCAGACGAACGGAAGATATCTGTAAAAACTCAAGAAGACATGTTAAATTGCTGGCCCAGGGAATCAGTTCTTCACAGACATTATATCTTTGGCCAGGGGCGCATTCTTATATCACTTCCATCACAGCTCATCATCCCACGTATTACCCGATTAGGCATAGAACGGAGTTAACAGAGTCCTGTTTCAGGCAATTCCGCATATCTAATCTTCATTGCGGTGTTAACTCGTCTGCTTCGCTGACAAACCTTCACACGTCGTCAGCCTAAATGGATTTACCTAAGGTACCATGCATTCATTCTGGGGCAACTGTAGCGTCTCGTTCGGGCAGTAACAACAATCCGGGATTTTATAAGCACTGCATTACGGTGGTTGCTCCTTGATCTTGGTAGCTAGATACTCATGTTTTCCTAGATGAATGCACAACTGGCACAGGATTCACCTGTGGATACTCCGTACTTGGGAACCATAGCGAAGTCAAGGCACTTTCCTGGAGGGACACTCACAATTAGGTTCCGGAAGGCGTTAGGAAAGAAAGGTATTGCTCCTAAACTAGGGAGTATTCTACTCGTATTTGTGCTACAAGATCAGTGTACTAGATGAACCTGATCTAGGCTGTGTAAAATATGATCCAAACCATCAACAGACGGTTCACTATCCCCTCTGGCAGGGTGCTGAGTTGTGTTAGGAAGCTCGTACATTCGGGGGCAGCGATTACTAAGGATATTCCTCACGTGACTTAATCTTGGCATAGATATCACTTCGATCATGGTATTGCATCGCTCGCTCGATTACCGCCACCATTTTAACGACGTCGTCTTCCAATTTGAGGGCGAGACTCTGGTTACTTCCTGCGCTATCGCTTGCTCGCATACATATGCTACGAACATTTGATGCCCACCTCTAACGAACCTCGCAACGCCATCTCAAGACTCTGAGCTGCGCAGCAATCATGTCTGACGGTACGCTGTATTCTGGACCAAAGCCATCTACAATGCTGACCGCCTTTGATGTAGCCGACTTCGACACGATCAGGCGCTTGCAAGCTGAGCGAAACGCTCAAGCTGGTGGGAAGAAAGGTTCACGAACTTTCGACCTGACCAGCCAGCGAACTGACACATCCACAAAGGCCTCCCTGACTGAAAGCTTTGATACTACGTTATACGAGCCAAATGGATCGGACAAATTTGCAGGGTACAGTACCACGATCGCAGCTGATGGCGATGATGAAGACATGGCCGATACCGATGATAGTCGGCGGCTGGTTGGCCAGTACACTGCATCCAAAGAACAAATGAATGAGTTCTCCTCTGGAAACGGAGTGGAGGAGGAAGACATCCTTCTAGGCCGTGAGAAGTCTCTCAGGATCTCTGACCGCGAGACTGATTACCAGAAGCGACGGTTTGATCGTGGTCCTCTTACTCCAACGCGAGCGGATCCATTCGCCGCAAACAAACACGCGGGTGTGGAAGAGGATGGCCAAACATACCGTGATGTGATGCAGCTTCAGGAATTGGAGAGGGAGGAGGCACGTGTACAGAAGCTGCTGGCAGAAAAGCAGGCCAATGGGGAGAATGGCGTTGCGGAGCACAAGCCGACACTTAAAGACGAGGCCGATAAGGAAAATACAGAGGCTGGCTCCACTGTTGAGGTTGTTTCGACACGCAAGAGAAAGAAGAGGTGGGACGTCTCCAGCGAGCCAACAGCAGGTTCTGAGGCGCCCGCAGCAGACTCCAAAACAAAAAGGTCTCGCTGGGACCAGACTCCGGCACCACCAGGCGCAGAAGTAATCCCTTCCAAGAGGTCCAGATGGGATCAAGCCCCTGTAATGGGAGGTGCTACCCCTGTTGGAAATCAAGGGCTGGCCACACCCATGCACCCATCTCAGACCCCTGCTGTCCTCGCCGGCTTCGGTACAGATATCGGAGGCCGAAGTGGCCCACTTACGGACGAAGAAATCGATATGATGCTCCCGAGCGAGGGCTATGAAGTCTTGGAACCACCACCGGGTTACGAGCCAGCAAGGATAGTCAGAAAAGCAATGGCTACACCGACTCCTGCTGCGAGTGCGAATGGGTTTGGCGGTTTCATGATGCAGGAGCCCGAGAACCCGCGAGCAATGGGCAAGCAGTTGCCGACCGAGATTCCTGGTGTGGGTGATCTGCAGTTCTTCAAAGCCGAAGACATGGCATATTTTGGGAAGCTGGTGGACGGATCAGACGAGAACACCATGTCAGTAGAGGACCTGAAGGAGAGGAAGATCATGCGTCTGTTACTGAAGGTCAAGAACGGAACGCCACCAATGCGGAAGACTGCTCTACGGCAACTGACAGATAACGCCAGACAGTTTGGAGCTGGACCACTCTTTAATCAAATCCTACCGCTTCTCATGGAGAAGACTCTGGAAGATCAGGAACGCCACTTGCTGGTCAAAGTCATTGATAGGGTGCTGTACAAGCTTGACGATCTCGTCCGGCCATACGTGCACAAAATTCTGGTCGTGATCGAGCCTTTGCTCATTGATCAGGATTATTATGCTCGAGTGGAGGGACGCGAAATCATTTCGAATCTCAGTAAGGCTGCCGGTCTTGCCCATATGATTAGCACCATGCGGCCCGATATCGATCACGTCGACGAATATGTGCGAAACACGACCGCACGAGCCTTTGCAGTCGTGGCCTCCGCTTTGGGAATTCCTGCCCTGCTGCCCTTCCTAAGAGCTGTCTGCCGAAGCAAAAAGTCATGGCAAGCACGCCACACGGGTGTTAAGATTGTTCAACAAATCCCTATCCTTATGGGATGTGCTGTTTTACCGCATCTCAAAGGCCTTGTTGATTGCATCGGGGACAATTTGAGCGATGAACAGGCCAAGGTCAGGACGGTCACGTCGCTCGCTATTGCAGCTCTCGCCGAGGCAGCGAACCCTTATGGCATCGAAAGCTTCGACGACATCTTGAATCCCCTGTGGACGGGGGCTCGCAAGCAAAGAGGCAAGGGTCTCGCAGGGTTCCTGAAGGCGGTAGGCTATATTATCCCCCTGATGGATGAGGAGTACGCGAACTATTACACCAGTCAGATCATGGAGATCCTACTTCGCGAATTTGCTTCACCCGATGAAGAAATGAAAAAGGTGGTGCTCAAGGTCGTCTCACAATGTGCAGGCACAGATGGCGTGACTGCGGGATATTTGAAGGAGCATGTTCTCCAAGATTTCTTCAAGAGCTTCTGGGTGCGAAGGATGGCACTTGACAAGCGAAACTATCGGCAAGTGGTCGAAACCACTGTTGATCTGGGGCAGAAAGTTGGCGTCAGTGAGATTGTCGAACGCATCGTAGTCAACCTGAAAGACGAGAGCGAGGCATACAGGAAAATGACCGTCGAGACGGTTGAGAAAGTGATCGCCTCGCTCGGCGCAGCAGACATCGGCGAAAGACTTGAAGAGCGCCTGATCGATGGTGTGCTTCACGCCTTCCAGGAACAAAGCATCGAGGACGTAATCATGCTTAACGGCTTCGGCACGGTGGTGAATGCATTAGGGACCCGATGCAAGCCATATCTTCCTCAGATTGTCAGCACCATCCTATGGCGCCTGAACAACAAATCAGCCACTGTTCGACAGCAGGCAGCAGACCTGATCTCCCGAATTGCTATGGTGATGAAGCAATGTGGAGAAGATGCTCTGATGGGCAAGTTGGGTATTGTACTCTACGAATACCTCGGGGAAGAGTATCCCGAAGTACTTGGATCCATTCTCGGGGCTTTGAGGTCGATTGTGACGGTGGTGGGTATCAACCAGATGCAGCCACCTATCAAAGATCTGCTTCCACGTCTCACTCCCATTCTTCGCAATCGACACGAGAAGGTGCAGGAGAACACCATCGACCTGGTTGGACGTATTGCCGATCGTGGTCCTGAATCGGTCAATGCGCGAGAGTGGATGCGAATCTGCTTTGAACTTCTTGACATGCTGAAAGCACACAAGAAGGGCATTCGACGTGCTGCAAACAACACCTTCGGCTTCATCGCCAAAGCCATTGGTCCGCAGGATGTGCTGGCCACGCTGCTTAACAATCTACGCGTACAGGAACGGCAATCTCGTGTCTGCACCGCGGTAGCTATTGGCATTGTCGCCGAAACTTGTGCTCCGTTTACTGTTCTGCCTGCGCTTATGAATGAGTATCGTGTACCCGAGCTCAACGTGCAGAACGGTGTCCTGAAATCACTTTCCTTCCTTTTCGAATACATTGGCGAGATGGCGAAAGACTATGTGTATGCTGTGACGCCTCTCCTGGAAGATGCTCTCATCGACCGAGATCAGGTTCACCGGCAGACGGCGGCATCGGTCGTCAAGCATGTGGCGCTGGGCGTGGTTGGCCTGGGCTGCGAAGATGCTATGCTACATCTCCTCAACTTGTTATATCCCAACCTCTTTGAGACCAGTCCCCATGTGATCGACCGGATTGTGGAAGCAATCGATGCCATCAGGATGGCGGTGGGCACGGGGATCGTGATGAACTACGTCTGGGCTGGACTCTTCCATCCGGCGAGGAAAGTGAGGACGCCATACTGGAGGCTCTACAACGATGCATATGTGCAGGGTGCGGATGCGATGGTGCCGTATTATCCTAATTTGGCGGATGAGGGTCTGGCGAGACATGAGCTTGCGATTGTGCTTTGAGGTAGACACGATAGCCAATAGCGGTGATCAGAGAGTTCGAAATCATTAAAAGGTCCCTCAGTCACATAGTAGTGCTCCTTGCAGTTGCAGCATGATATGTAGCTGCCCAGTAAACATTGGCGAGCTTGACAATCCTTCTGCTCCCTGCTCCCTGCCTCCCTGCTTCCAGCTTCGGCCTCTCCCCTTCCATGCTCACCGTCTCCTCTCTCGGTCGTTCGAGTGGCAGTCGTTCGAGTGGCAGGGAGCTCCAACCCAACATGGAAAGATAGCACGCAGCGTGTATCTCAGTCGTCAATTGGAAAAATAGCGCCTCCTCCTTTTCATCCCTCTCCCACTCAGACACACCGAAAAAAAAAAACAATGGCCTCCATCCGGGCCAACTGCCGCAAGATCGTCTGCATTGGACGCAACTACGCGTGAGTGAATGCCTCCTCCCCAACCCAACCCCCACTAAACTCCCCTCCACCCACAGCTCACACAACGCCGAACTCTCCTCCCCGCACCCGAAACAACCAATCTTCTTCCTCAAACCGCCCACCTCCCTCCTCCCCCCCTCCAGCGGGCCCCTCATCCGCCCACGCGGCGTAACCCTCCACCACGAGATCGAACTCGGCCTACTGATCTCCAAACCGCTGCACAACCTCCCGATCCACC